TTAACATTTGTAGAGCTATAAAATAAAATAGAGGAAAAGCCATTTTTATCATATAATTTATAAATTAATTAATTTTTTGAGAACACTTTGGCTGCCTGGATGCTGAAAGCCTGCCGGACCCTGTTGGGTGAGATGGTGCTGAGAGTTTAGTAGTTCTCCAGGTACTTTTGTTGTGCAGCCACGGTTGAGGGCAGTTGATACTGATGGAATTAAACCCAGAGAATTTAAAATTTAAATCAAGAGAAGCAAAGGGATCCAAAGATTGAGCTCTCCTAAGGCATATATGCTGGCAAGTGAGGAGGGACTGAGGAGAGAGCAGAAAGGGGACAATCTAATGGCTGGGGCAGGGCAGGAAGGACCCTGATCTATAAGACACATTGCTGGAACTGTGGATGAGGTGATGGCCCCAGAACTCAGAGAAGTCCAGAGGAAGGAGAGTGGATCTCAGAATCAGCTTCTCTGGGAAGGGAAGTGATCTAGCCCTGCTGATACCTTAACTTTGACCCAGGGAGACCTATTTTGGACTAACACCCTTTATGACTATAAAATAGATCTGTGTAAATCATCAGACTTGTGGTGATTCACTACAGGAGCAATAAGAAACCAGTTTAATAGCCTCAAAGCATGCAGATTAGGATCCTGGTTCAGACTCCTCAGCTGCATCCCACCCTGCTCTCAGATGGTCTGACTTCATACCAGTTATACCTGTCCACTGGGCCATCTTGGGCACTCTTGCCATCTCTCTGAGCCTCAGCTGTCATCTGTGAAAGGCAGCTCCTAATCCTGCTGGTGTCACGAGCGTGGCTATGAGGGTGAATGCGACAATACTTGTGAAATCTCTTAGCAACCATCGTTGGCACGAAACTGGTGCTTGGTGCTATTTTTAGTTGTTGAACATAATTCTGGAACTTTCATTCCAATACCCAGACCCCCTCCTGCTCCTACTAGGGTCTCAGCTCTTCCTAAGGGGACAGCTACTTTTGGCAGTGCTTAGATCAGCAGGGAATTAATGTTCTCTTTCCCATCAGCCTTGGGGCATTAGGGCCCTGAGCGTGTTCTCAAAGGGAAGAACTCAACCTGGCGTTTATATCCTTCTGTTGCCATTGCACAGCTGGTTGGCATGGGGAGTTACTTCATTTCTCTGAACCTCTATCACCTTATTTGTAGAATGCCCCGCAATAAGTCCTAGCACAGGGTACCAGTGGGAAAGGTAAATGGGCTCACAGCTGGGTATGTAGCAAGCACTCAATAAATAGCACCAATCACTGGAACCACTGGTCTCCCAAAATACACATATGCTTTTCAACCAGGATTTGGGCCAGGTTTGTGGGTCCAGGAACCCATATAATTTGCAGCATCCTTTAAGCATCCAAAGGCTTCAAGGGTTTCAGGTAGAGCCAGTGGCACAGAAATGTTTAGCTTTTGATCTTTGCTATCAACCTTTTCTCCTCCATGATGCCTTGCACCAAATGCATCCCAGAAAAGTCCTCTCTGACTATCCTGAGTAAACCCCTATAGCCTGAGATTTTCTGGAAACGTCAGAGGCAGTGACCACCTGGGGCAGTATCCAGCCTCCCGTGGTAAGCCAGTAAGTCTTTCAATGAAGCAAAAGCAAAATCTTTCCTGCATGGTATCAGTGCCTTGGAATAGAACAAACATTTTATCTCCTTTTTCTTTAGACATTAAGGTTGCCAGATTTAGCAAATAAAAACGTCAATTGCCCAATTTAACGATGAGTAAAATTTTATTATAAGTAAGTCCCACATATTGCATGGCATATTGGGAGAGATCTTATTTTATCTGGTAGCCTTGTCTGTCAGGGACCCTGTCAAGTCAAGCACAGTGCCAGAAGACACAAAATCAACATTAGCAGTGGGACTCTGGGCCCTTCTTCCCCAGGCGAGAGTGTGGATATTCGAACTCACGTTATGTTTTTCAAAAGTGTTGCTGCTTTGAGAAGTACCTGATACTTTTGATCTTCAGCACAGAATAGCCAATGGCAGAAGACTGAGACACAGCCACCCCTTAAGCCACGCGGTACTTGATTATCAGCCACACCTGGAGTCAGGCACATGAGGTCTGAATCACAGCTTTGAGACCAAGTTGTCCTCTCTGATTCTCCACTGATGTTTCTTATGTCTTTGGGTAGCGTCATCATTAAACAGGAAAACGTGGATAAAGTGCGTGCACTGGATGAGACTCAGTGGTAACTATTTCAATTTCTCAGTCCACTCTTGGTTGCTGTAACAAAATACCTGGCACTAGGTGCTTTACAAAGAACAGAAGTTTATTTGGCTCTGGAAGGATGGGAAGCCCAACAGTATGACACCAACATCCTCCGGACACTTGGTGAGGACCTTCTTGCTGTGCCATAACATGGAGAAGGACAAAACACGAGCTGCAAGTTTCAATGTCTCTTCCTCTTCTTGTGAAGCCTCCAAGACCACCATGGGCCCCACCATGATGACCTTATCTAGTACCCTACCTCCAAATCATATTTACATATGAGTTGGGGATTCAGTTCCCAATCAAGAACTTTTTTGGGATGCACTGAAACCACAGTACCCTCTTTGGTTTTTATTCTCTTTTGGAAAACAGGCATTGCCCCAAATGGTCAGACATGCTTTCCTGAAACAGGCAAATTAGGAATTCACAGGCATATATCCATGGTCATGAGCTGAGGCTTCTCCATGTGGCACCTTCTATCCTCTGTTGAACACCCCTGTGTTCATCATCCCTGTGGTAGAAGCTGGCAGACATCCAGCTGGCCTGTTTTTTTCAAGAAGCCTCCTTGGAGCACCACCCATTTCTTGGCTCTAACACCTGGAGGCTTCTTGGCCTCAGTTGCTGATGCCCATTTTCCAGCTCCATCTCAGGACTGGGTTATCAACCCTGCCCTCTACATGCCGGGCACCCAGGGATGCCTCTGTGGTCCCTGCAGAGTGACCTCAGCTCAGTTGACCACAGACAGCACACAGCAGCCTGTATACTGCATGTCCTAAATGAGTTGCACAACCACCCCTATGAACAGGTGTCTTCAGTACCCTATTTCTGCAGGTGCTGAAACAGAAATCCAAGTGGACAACGTATGGTGCAGGACTACTGTATGCCATGTTTTACGTGCAATTAGCTCGTAGCAGGTAGAATTTTCATCATTGCTGCTTCTATTGCTATAATACATGCAAATACCTGAGAAACACAGCATTGACAATAAATCCTGTCCACACGCAATAGCTCTGATCCCCCTCAAAACTCCTCAAGATTTCTAAACATCTCAGCTATTAACATTTTCTGTCCGATGATTCGCTGTGGTCACAGCGTGGTCCACCTGTGCGTGGTAGGATGCTTAGCACATCCCTGGCCTCTTTTCACTAGATGCCAGTGCCCCCCCCCCTCAATACAATCATCTCCAGAAATTGTCACATGTTCTTTAGGAGTGGGAGTAGGCAAGTGGCTGCTTTAGAATAATCACAGTAATAGTTTCTTGAGAATCTTTTTGAGGATATTTTTATGCACATGCACGTACCTTTAAAGAAAAGATGGGTTGATATACAGGTTTCTTCCACTACTTACTTTTTAACTTAATATGCCTTGAATCTCATTTGTTAAGGGCACACAGAATCCTTAGGGCTCCTTTGAATGACTGAGTGGTATTTCTTTGCAGGCACTGCTGCAAGTGATATAACAGTTCCTTAACAATGAGTATTTGAGTTGTTTCTTGTGCTTAAGCCATTAGAAATACTGCTTATAAGCACACTCCAACACACGCATCTTGATCAATATAGACAGAACACTTACTCATGAGGGAGTCTGGGGTAAACCTTTAAAAGTCAAATTGCTTGGCCAGAGTATACACTAATTTTGATCTGCCACCTTGTAATCTAAAATAGTTTGCACCAAATTAGTACACTGCAACTCATATTTTGATTAAAAAACCAAATACGAAGTGAATTCTGCATTTCACACTATGTTTAGTTACTTGCACGTGCTATCTTATTTAATTCTTACTACAAGTCTGATCGCCAGGAATTATTGCCTTTTACAAATGAAAGAATTGGGGTTTAGAGAAATTAAGAATCTTTCCTAAGCTTGCCAGTATCAGCACTCAAACCTCAGCCCAGAGCAGTCTCCGACTAAAACTGTTCTCTTAACCAGTAGTACATTTAGTGTTCTTAACAATGCTTTTAGGGAGGCTCCCTTATTCCCATTCCCTAATGGGATTACTGAGGCCCAGAACAATTAAAGTGACTTGACCAGCACCATACAACTGAATCGGGAATCTAAACCTGACTCCAGAACCTCTGCTCTTCCATAAAGCTGCCAATGTCATCCTTCTTGAAAAGCTTCCTGGGGTTGCTCTAGCCGCCCTCATCTGCCCTCCAGTAGCAGTTCCCTAGGAATATAAGGGGAAGGCGTGTGGTGACAGACACTGCAGGTACCTCTCACTGGCTGCACATCTCCCAGGTCAGGTATCACACTTTGCATGGAACATCTCATTTTACGTCTGGCAAAAAGCCTATAAGACAGGAAGTATCGTCCTTATTTTACAGGTGAGAAGACTGAGGCCCAGAAATATTCAGCGATGTTCAAAGTCTTTGGGGCCAGTGCATGGCAGAGCTGGTCTTTGAACTTGAGTCTGTTTCGATCCAAGGCCTGTCCTCATCCGTCCCCTCCCTGACCTAACCATGTGACTCATGGAAGAGTTTTCAGTATTTTTGTTTGTTTTTGGGAAAAACAGATTTTGTCATAACAACACAGGTGACCTTCATGTTTTAACAACAAGCTTGATGCCTGGGGCACAATTTTTACAAGCCTAACTGGCTCTTCCTTGTCTGTTTCTTGAGAGGAGAAAGTCCCTAGACCAGAGTACTCACCTTGACTTGTGCGTGCACACACGCACGTGTGCACACACACATACACACACACACACACACACACACGGAAAGGGAAGGAGAGGGGGAGAGTGAGGGGGGAGAAAGAGAGAGAGAAACAGAGAGAGATTTGTTTGTACTGCTTTCCTTTAAAATGGAGGCAGAAAAAACAGAGAGAGGCCTGGCTGAGGCTTGCAGCTAGAATTTAACAACAAACTGAAACCTCACCAAAGTTGCTTGTGCTGATTTGCTTTGGATGTTAAAAATCCTAATCCTGCCAGGATGCTAATTGTTGAGGCTTTGTAGAGCTCAGAGGAGTTTCCCAGAATGCACAGCCAGAAAGGCAGGCACAGGCAAATGAGATGAGGTAGTGTGGACCTAATCCTTTTTGTTGTGCATTTGGGTTGCAGCAACCTGGAAAGATATAGATAGGTACATGTGAAAATACTTTGTTCACTAGATTGTGCAATGAGGAGGAGAAGGAGACTATGACTCAAAAGCTGGAGTCAAACTCAGCTTTGCCACCAGCTGTGTGACCCAAAGGAAGCTGATTATCTGAACCTCGGAGTCTCAGTCTGTAAAAACTGGTTGGACTACCCCATGTCATTACTTTATCCAAGTCTAACAGAGATGATCTTAACCTGTTCAACAGAATTTGGTTTCTGAGAAACACAGCCTAACAAGTGATAATGGTAATAAATGCTAAAAGTAGATAATTTTTATTAAGCATTTCATATAAGCCAAGCACTGAGCAAATTATTTTGCATGGCTTATGTCACTTATGTCTCATAATAAATGCAAGAGCAGGATAATTTTATTAACCTCACCCTACACATGAGGAAATTGAGGCTCAGAGAAGCCAAATGATTTGCTCAAGTTCGAGAGTTAAAAATAAAACAGACAAACAAAAAACCTGAAAGATCTAGCCAGCAAATTTGCCCATTTCCATGATCTCCTTAGGCAAAGAATAGTATCAGATGCTGCTGGTTGTAGCAGTGGACGCTGTCATGACCACTAGACGGGCAATCATTTTAGGGTCACCGGAGAGCCAAGCTCTGACCTCCTTTAACTGGGTACCTCTGGCTTAGGCTGCAAGGTAGACCTGTAACCCGATCCTCTTGGAGAGGCCCCAGCTTGCTGTTCACTGGGCTGGAAACCTGAGCTGCTCCGGAGAGGGCTGGAAGACAGCTTGGGGCCTGGGGATTGGTTCATGCTATCTCAGCTTTTACTCTAGCAGGCTAAGTGGCTTTTGGCCCTTGTTAATGGCGCCATCTCAGATCAGTGTCAGGGGAACCACTGGCCACTTGGGGGACCTTGAGAGTAGGAAAGGCAGGAGGAGGTGGAAGGTGACAAGCATGCCCTCCACCCCCTTGGTCGCCTAGGTGGACTAACCACTTGCTCCAGGGTGGTGCAGCAGAAATTTCAGGTAGGAAGTTTGACCAAGTTCAGGGTCCCTTTCCCTGGTCTATCCAGCAGGGGCGCAGTTGATCCTCAGAGGTACATGCCAGACAAAGAGTGCAACAGCAACTGTGTCTTGTGGTTGTTACCTCAAGTTAATGCAGTCACAGCTTAATCCTATAGTGGAACACCCCACCTCCACTCTTGGCCCCCACCCCCTGCCTTCACCACGCAGCAGGGAGCCCATGACCCAAGCCTGGGCAGTAGGCGCATCTATGCTGATGACTCCATTTGCCACCCCAACCCCAACCTCCTCTGCCAGGGCATCCTGCTCTCAGCCCAGGCTTCTTCCTTGGCTGCAGCCTGCACTGGGCTCTGGTGACACTGTTTCCTGTCCTTGCCCCTTTGGGGTAAGAGATTCCCTTGTAACTAGTGCCAGGTGCCACAACACCCTCCCTAAACTCACCCCAAGACTCCATGCGTGGATCTTGCACAAATTTATATTCAGAATCCCACCACCTGTTCTTTCTGTTTCTGTTTCCAACTGAGACTCTGCTTCATCCAGACTGCAATTCCGGATGCAGTTAGTCAAGTCACGGAAGCTTCATTATCCCCTCCCTCAACTGACAAGATGGGGACAGAACTGCTTCTCCAGGCTGTTGTGAGAGAGAAATCAGGTCATGGTGAACAGCAGCTAGTTTATACTTGAGTCACGGCGACCAATTACAACACAGGTTAGTTCTCCGCTATTGCTACCAAATCTTGCTACTATTAATATCTAGTGTTAGCAGAAATGAATATTTGTAGATTGAAAGGCCCTATGGTAGATTTTCTTCCTTTGACCTTTTGATTATTTTTCCTCTTGAAATAGCAGAATAAGACACCTAGTACCATGGTGACAGTCTCTATAGAAATCCATAGCTTGTTCTCAGCACACTCACGGATGCAGTGGGAGGCTGGCATAGATTTGGACCAATAGAGAAAAGGCATGCTTAGCCTTGTCCTGGTTACAAAGAACATTTTTTCCCCTTAGAAATGGACCTTCCTGTCCCCAATTTGGCATCACCTAGCACTTTCCTAATGTGGGTTAATTTTCCATCAGCTCCTAGAAAGAATGTATTTCCAGTCTCTCCTGGGACAGACAGGAGTTTCAAACCAGATAAAGCAAGCTTCAGTGGAGAATATTCAGAGCCTGCAGAAAGTTAGACTGTTCCAATTGCATCTCTGCCAAGGGGTGCAAATGTATTTGCTTGGAACAGGTAATCCTTTCAGATACTCTAATCCAGGGTTAGAAATAGACTTGGTAGCTACCAGAAATCCCTGTTGTTTTGATCCTTACTGTATGAAGCTTGCCCTAATAAAGCCTGAAAATATAGAGGCCTGGGAGTGAGGCACTTTGCTGACATCAGCCAAGGCCTCTGTCACTTTAAGAGAGTCCTTGAGGCAGGCGGTTGGAGAATCACAGAGATGAGGGCCAGATGGCCAGCAAACAGGATGGCAGTGAGTTAGGGAGAGGGCAGCCAGTGGGCCATCTGCTTTATCACCTTGCAGTAGGAGGCTTGTGACTGGTGGCTGCAGGTGGACTGCTTGGGGGAAGAGTGGCACCCTGACCTGGGGCCACTCATTGATCCAACTAGCCCAACTTCTGTCTGAAGTGGAACTCAGCTGTGCAGACCCAGTGGGCCAGACGAAGATGGGCTGTGGAGTCGGACAGGTCTCAGTTCACATCCTGGTTGTCTGCCCTCTGTCAGAGCTCCTGTTTCCTCATCCATAAACTGAAAAGAGAGGCTTGCAAACTTACTCATGAGGGGGAGGTAGATATGCAAGTTAAGGAGGCTATTGTACACAAGCCAGACATTTTAATCCTCTCCTCTGGGGAGCATATAATAATTTTTCAACTGAGATGGGTACAAGGAAAATATTTCCCTGAGAGTCATATGTCCTGGCAATCTAAAAATGGAGATTCTCAAATTCTGTTTAAACATCTCCTAAAAATGCAAGTGTATCACTCAGGACTCCTATCAGTTACATGTAAGAGAAAACCCAGATAACCGGCTTAAATAAGATAAGGATTCACTTTTCTTTCATATCAAAGAAGTCCTGACACAAGCAGTCAAAGACTGGCATGGTAGCTCCCCTGTCATCCCCACCAAGGAGCCAAACTCTTCCACCTTTGCATTCTGCTATTTTAAGAGCATGGCTTTCCATCATCAAGGTCATTGCATGGTCAAAAAAATGATGCTGTGATTCCGTCCTATGTGCCCACATTCCAGGCCCAGGAAGAATGAAAAGTGAGAGAGGCGGCATCTGTCAGATGAGTTAGCACTTTAGAAAATGTTTTCCAGAAGCTTCTCCCAAAGACTTCCACTTACTGTACATCTTATTGGGCATCTTCTACAGCAGAGAGACCGGGAAATTTAGTGGGCAGGTGGGCAGCTCCAGTAATGTGAAGGCTTTGTCAGAATAATAAAAGAATGTCAACTCTGCCATAGCCAACGTCCCAGTTCCAGGAATCTTCCCTTCCCTAAAAAAGTTCTAACTGGGCCAAGACTGGGAATATTTCTCCCCACAGTACAAGAACAAAAACATGACTCAGTTTTTCTGTCTTCTCTACAGCTGGTTGTAGCCCAGTGGTCCAGATGTTTCTGGAAGGGCCTTGATAAGGGTAATGTCAGAAACCTGCCGTAGACATCTGCCCTCAAAGGCAGAGCTGTGGTCAGAACCTGGTCTTGCCTCTGATTGGCTGAATATCTCTAGGCAAATTACTGAACTGTACCCCTCAGGGTGCGTTGATCTCCTTAAGGACCAATGAGATCCTCATTCAGCAAAGGCAATAGGTTTTTGCACAGTTTCCTGTCCCTTTGGAACTCACATAGCTCACCTACCACTTTAAAGCTAGTAAACCAAGCATCAGTTCACACCCATCTGATACAGATTTTGTAAATCAGAATCAGAGCCTCAGAGGGATCACAGGGAACAGTCTAAGGCACCCAGGATAACTTTTAAAATCTCAAATATTTTGCACTGTCTCACACCTGTCTGCCCTATTGGCTGTATCAGCTACCTGTTGCTTTTGTGACAAATTACCCCAAAACTTAGTGGCTTAGAAAATGACACAGCTTTACCATCTGGCAGTTTCTGTGGTTCAGGAATCTGGGTGTGGCACGGGTGGGTCCTCTGGCTCAGAGTCACAAGACTGTCACACACGATAGCAGTTGAAGCTGCTGCCAACTCAAGGTTCGGTGTGGGAAGATCAGTGGCCAGATTTACTCCTGTGGTTGTTGAAGGCTCCAACTCCCCCCTGGCTGTTGGCCCCAAGTTCCCTTAGTCACCTGCCACATGGGTGTCTCCACAGGGTAGCTCACACCATGGTGACTGGTTTTATCAGAACAAGGGAGAAGCCAAGAGAAGGAATGTAAGCAAAGAGGAAGACTTTACAAATTCATTTCAGAGTGGCGTCTATCACCACCTTATTGTGTTTATTAGATGTGAATTACTAGTCCGGTCTACACTCAAGGGAAGAGATTACACATGAACATCAATACCAGGAAATGGGAGCCTGGTAGGGGCATTTTAGAAGCAGGAATTGATGTCCTGCTTCATTTATCTGTCCTCACTCTCAGGTTCCTGGCATAGAGCCTCTTGTATTCCATGAACACGTCTAGCTCCCTTCTTATCCCAGGACCTTTGTATAGGCAGATCTGTCTTCCTAGTGGCTCTTCCTTTCCTCCTTCGTAGTTGTGCTTATTTTCAGATTTCATTTCCAGCCTCATTTTTGTAAAGAAGTCTTTCCCGGACAGTTCTCTGATGAAACACAGGAAGAAACCATCCCCAAACCACAGCACGGCCCTGGGTGACTCCAAGGTGTTGCCTTCAAGCAGGATCCTGGACCTTGATTCTTTCTTCATGCACTGAAAGGCTCACCACGCTGAGAACTTCTAGAGGAACAGTAATCCTCCAAAAGGAAAACTTTAGATTTAGTTCATGGGTTTGTGTTCCAGGAGTCAAAAGAGAAGAGCTGATCCTTGTTTTAGGGGAGATCCCAGCTCAGGGTGTATGTTTCTCTAGTCAGGTTGTCTTTCTCATCTGCATTCATTTATTCGCTGGTAGGATGTGTGATTGTCAGGACATAAAGTCAGATGTGAGATAAGTGTACGTTTCTCTATAGTCCCATCCTGAGTTTGACTTCTGATTTGAGTCTCCCTTTGGCCTGGGAAGGGAGCAGCTCGATCTCTGTCAACCTGCTCCTCCTGTTTTTCAGAGATATCATCTATGCTTGTACAAAGGTGGTGAGAGGATGGATGCTTGGTCTTTGATGTCACATAGTATTTGTCATTTTGAGTCACTGGTCAGTGATTCTGCTCCCTGGCTCTTCCACAACCTATCTCAGGTCTGATGACTATTACTTCTGTGACTTTCTGGGGCTCGCAGGAATCCTTCGGTTACACCTGTGCCTCACAGGACCCTCCTATGGGGATCTCAAGTGCCCACTTCTGCTCTTCTGGTGTTTCCTGTGTCCCTGAGGGCCCCTCTTCCCTTTTGCTATGAAATCCTAGTTTGTGACTCTGGAATATTTGCCTTTGTCCCTACACCTGGCCCCCAGAGCAGAGCATATGAGTCTCTTTCCCAAGGACGCTGACACCTTCAGCCTATCCCTAGAATTCCCTTATCACAGCAATTTGGGGAACATTTTGCTGGTCTTCAGGAAAAAAATTTTGCTTATGGCATCTTCTTGTAGAATGCTTAACCTAACCATGAATTCTTTCCAACCTCCTGAAAACTTCATCTGGAAAGCTCAGAAGGTGAAAAGTTCAATTTTCTCCTCTTTTCTGCTGTGATACAGAATAGCCTCATGGCCATAAAGTAAGAAAGGCCAAGCAGGAAAAGCTAATGGGGGAAGAACCCCATTTGCCTCTCAGATTCATTCCATGTGTATTTGTTAGGATTTGCCATGGGTCAGTCCCTCTTCAAGGTGCTAAGGATAACAAAATTAAGACTCAGTTACAGCCCTGAAGAATTGCAACCTTATGGGATAGGGGAGGATGGGCTTATGTAACTGATCCCCCTAGAACAGTGTCATCAGAGATGCTTAGGGTGTGGGAACCTTGAGGATGCATCCCCATTGGAGGCAAGAGCTAAGCTGGAAGGTAGGCTAGATCTGGAAATAAAAGCAAAGAGTAGTTCAGCAGAGAGTGAAGCCTGTCCCAAGGCACAGAGCTATGATGACTGGCCGCTGAGCAGCTGCCAGCCTGTTGTGGAGGAGAACACAGGTTCCATCTGCAGGCATGGCTGCAGATCAAGTTGGAGAAGTGGCAGGAATCAGGTAACGAAAGGTCTTGGGTGTCAGGCTGAGGCATTTGGAGTTTTATCTTCAGGAAATGTAGACTCATGGGAGGATTTTTAGGCATGCAGTGATATGACTAGCTTTGTGCTTTAGAAGGTTCTCCTGGGCCATGGTGGAGGACGGGCTAGAGAGAGGGTTCCTGGAGCAGAGTCAGCTACAGCAAAGAAGAGGGTGGAGCACTTGGCGTCAGAGGGGTTGTGGGGTTGAAGAATTGCAGCCTAAGAGGACTCTGAGACTACTAATGGTGTCAGTTAGCAGATTGGCAGGAGGAGATCCTAACAGAAAGAGGCTGGAGAAGAAGAAACTGTCCAGTGCGGAGTCCAATTTGGTGTCAGGAACCTGTGGATAAGGAAACTTAGTTTTGCAGTTCTGAACATTAGCAGAAAGTTCTGGAGTATGAAAGCCCACCTAAGAAGGGTGTAAAGAGGGCAGCTCCAAATTCAAGTACTTTGCAATAGTTGCTATAATGGTGGTCAACTAGGAAAATGCAGTTCACAGCAGCTCAAATACACGCAAGCATTAAGACCCTCAGAAGAGTCCCACAGCTCTGCTGTTTCAAGGACCTGGATTCTTTTTTCTTTCTGTCCTTCTCTCCTTATCTATGGGCTTTTGTTCTCTTGCTAACAAGATGGATCTTGCATCTGAAATTTCAAAATATAAATGAAATATACCAATATTTCAGCGAAATGAGACATTGCATTTTTCCTGGATCCATCAGTGTATTAGCAGTGGCACCTGACATATAAAGCGCGCAGTGTCTGGCAGTCTTTTAAGAGATTGCAAAACATTTAGAAGGCAACAGGGAGATGTGGAAAGAGACTTTGGGGCCACACAGGCTCTCACGTTAATCTCAGGCTCTCTGTGAATGTTGAGCGGTTTGTTTCCTTTCCTGATACGCCCTTGGCCCATATGGAGCTACTCCAGGAAACACAGTTTGCAAAATAGGAAGCAAGAGGTGATACAAGAAAAAAACCCCTTCTAGAAGTTACCTGTGTCACCTTTGGGTTTGAGCTGTCAGCTGCAGCTGCTTCACTCCCACAGCCTCTGTTGTGTACCTCGAACTGGCAGAGCTGTGAGTCAGTGCCCCCCCTGTGCCTGGTGTGCTCATGCGTCACTGTCGCCTGCCCCAGCCCCTGCCCTACCAGGTGGCTGTGATCTTTGGACATCTTTGTTTTCCTTTATGGGAAAGGATGATGCCCTGCTTCTGCGTTCTGCCTGCCTGGAACAGAGGCAAAAGGCTCTCCCTGCAAACTCCCTGTTTTCAGGGAAATGAGATGGGAGCTGGGAGGAGGGGGTGGCGTTTAAGCTCCTCTGAGGTGTGCAGAAACCAGAATGAGGCAGTGTAAGAACCTTTCAGGATCTGCAAGCCGCTCAGCTGAGCACACACAGACTCTGCCAGATGCAGTTGTTATGCAAAGCAGCTTAATTGGCCCACAGGTTGGTTGAGTTTCAAACCCACAAATTATACCAATGCAAGAGAAAGAAAAACAGATTTGACAGATTCTGGATGGGGCCCTGTAGTTTATACAAATGGAAAAGGAAAAACATGCAGGGGCAGAATGAGCCTCAACTGGAAAAGATGAGCATACACACATATATGCATACATATGTAACACTCATTAATGCGTAATAGAAGTATAATGGACACGCTTTCATATGTAATATATTGCATTTACATTATATTATGTGTATTCTATGTATTAGCTGAGGGAAAGCAGGAAGAAATGCAAGCATGAGGGTAGTTTGGGATTGTGAGCTGCTTAAAATGCAGCCCCAGTGAAAGCTCCATAAAGACTGAGACTGAGAAGTGGATTGAGGATCATACAGGTTGTTCATTCTCAAGAGTTAGTCTATACCCAGGAGAGGCAGAGTCTGCGGTAGAAGTCATCTGCTGAATTGTGTCACTCAGGGAAAATATTTATTCATCTGGTCATTCACAGAGGTTACAAGGGTGATGCTTTGAGTATGGGTTTAGCAACCAGAGATCATAGTTTGAATTGCTATCCCAAGAAGCTAGTGACTTTGGGAGACTTATTTAACATATTTGGATCTCATTTTTCTCATCTACAAATAAGTATCTATTTTATGGCATGGAGAAGATGAACTTAAGTAATAGCTATGCCTAGCATAGAACTGCGACCGTGATTGTATTTATGCTTTTGTGGATTATTCTACTCAGTAAAGTTTAACTGGACATGTCTTACTTTTTACTCGTTGCTGAGACAAAATAACTGATGCCCAAGGAAAGGAAGGGGAAGGAAAGGTCTATTTCTTACAGTTTTTGGAGGTTTCAGTCCATACTCAGTTGGCTTCCAGGCAAGGTGCCATGGCAAGGCCACAATTCACGGTGGCCACAAACAGCAAGGTAGAAACCTGCAAGAGAGAGAGAGACACACCTTCTTCCTGCCATTACATCATACGCTGGCTCCACCCCTAGGTGGGTGTAGCACTGACACCATCAATCTAATTGTTAGACAATGAACTGATCACAAATGCACAATGCAAGTGCATGAGGCCTGGAGGCCAGCAACATAAACCATGACAGGGCACATACTGTGTACTGGTCCCTATCTTGTACCCTGAGGCTGTAGACTTGGTTCATGTATTTCAAAAATATCTGCTGAGCACATATGAGCTTGAGAGGCATTGTGTTGGGCTTCCAGTCTGGCAAGAACAACAGACACCAAAATAACTGAAACAAGTAACTAGCATGAAAATCTCCTCCCAGAATGCCAGAACCTCAAGGTCTGCAGTCCAGCAGTCTTGAAAAGGGACTAGCAGAGCCTCTGTAGGTAAGAAAATGCAAGCTCAGAATGCTACAAAGATGTACCCGGCCGGCATCAGTGGTCAGTGAGAGGCAGCACCAATGGAGAGCAGAGGCCAGCCTGACTCCAAAGCTTTCCCAACAAGCACCTCTGCTGGCTGTGTTTTCCACCTGTTGAGTTGAGACATTGGGCTGGGCAGGGTCAAGAAAACATATGTCTGCACAGGGAGGGGAGGAAGTTGAGTATGCCTGTTTGTGTGTCAGTGTGTCTGTATGAAGATCTGTATCTTCCATGTATGTATTTCTGTGTTTATACCCCTTCCCGTGCCTCTGCTTGACTGTGTGTGTGTGTCTGAGGATCTGCCTATGTCAATACAGTTGTGTCTTTATATTTCCATGTGTGTGTGTTTCTGTGAACCTGCATATGTATTGTCACTGTGTATATTTTTGGTATATGCCTCCTGTGTGTTTATCAGATTGTGTGTCTCTGTGTATCTGTGTATGTGCCTATACATCAGTGAGTGTCCCTGTGTGTGCTTCTATGGCACAGCGTGGTCTGCTCCCTCTTCAGCTACCAGCTGTCACCTTGGAGCTCATCTACCGTGCCCTTCAGGGTCAGGGAAACTGACAACGTCAATGGCTTAGCCTTATCTCCAAGCTTGCTACTCTGTCGGGGGAAATGAAATTGGCCTGGCACGGCCTGCTCCTGGTGATGTCATTTGGCTGTGATTGGCATGGTCTGCCCTCCGAGGTATTTGTCTTTTGATTGTTTGATGAATACCTCCAATATAGACATTAAGTGAACATGAGTTTTGGGTTGTCCCTTTTCTTTTTTTAAGAGTCATACCAGGGTGAAACATTAGCTGTCCATCTTTGTTGTGAACTTGGGAACCAAGGTAAAGGAGAAAGAGCTTTGTCTCAATGATGGTGAAACCTTGGCTCAGGCCTCCCATTTGTCCCTTTGAAAGTTGTGTGGCCTTGGGGAAGACCCTGTACATCTCTGAGCCATCATATGTTACCTTGTAAGATAATTCCTTGGAAGGAAAGATGCAATAATAGATTATTAAAATGTTCTCAGGAATCCATAAGCTTTCAACTATGTGATGCTGAGGCAGGGAGAGAACCTTAGGCTCAGAGGGCAGACGGCAATTATCTAGGTCCTGACTCTTTCCCCAAAATACAGTCCTGAGTAAGCTACTGGATCTTCCTGAGCCTTTGGTTGCTCTTCTGATAAACAGAATAGCAGGTGAGTGTGATAGTCCCCAGACTGGGAGCTGTCACTCTTTTAAACAGTGCAGCAGGGGTGATGGTAGTATCAGTTTCTGCCCTCTTTTGAACTTTCAGTGAACATAAGCAAATTAAGCCTCTGGCAGCACAGGGCTAAAGGGACGGACAGCATGATTGAAGTGATTTACTATCACTGGTCTTTACTATTTCAAGATGCATATATCAGCAGAGTGTTCTTGGCATTGCCAATAGTTGGCAAGCATCTGCACTCCATCTAGAACTTAGGGGCTGTTCTCTTCATGGACAGAAGCTGAGTATAAGGTGTCCTTCCACCCAGAGTGGTCCAGGCTGACTTCCCCGGTTCCCATGCCAGCCCCACCAATCGCACCCTTTCTATGTTATCTCCTCGCCTCCAGGGTGGCCTTGTGTCCCCTTTGTCTCTGAAGACGCTGTTCCCTTTGCCTGGAACACACATGGACAACACTCACTGCTTAGACAATCTGGTCTTGGCCCAAGGTCCCTCTGCCTCAGCCAAAGCAGATGTCTGTGCTCTGTGTCCCAGGGCAGCCTGGATTCACCCCGTCCTGCATGCGGTGCTGGGTATTCAAATCATCTGCTTCTCCTCAGAGTTCCCTTGCATAGATGCCTTCCCAGAGGGCAGAGATGGGGCTCCCAGGAGTCCTGACTGGATGCTCACAGAGTAAACACACAGAGACCCATGATCTCATATTTTTTCTCCCACACTGTGGGTGCCAGTGCCTTCACCTGCAAATACATTCTTCTTACATAAATCCAACCATTTTGCTCAATAACAGATTTCAGAGATTCCGCTCTTTTCTTCCTGTTGAACTGGGTTTTGAAGCAGATGTCTTGTCTTTCCTGTATCTGCTTGTTTCTAATGACAGTGTCATGCAGATCAAGGACAAAATCTTCCCAAGTGTTTGAGCAGCTCCAGCCTGCGTTCAGAGATAACCTGAGAGTTTGATCCAGAAACTGTGGCACCAATAGAGACCTATAGCATCAGGAAGGACTAGTTGGATTCCAAGCCTTAGTTCTGACACTTACTAGCCATATGGATGCACTTTGTGACTCAGTGTCCTTATCTGTAAAATGGGGATACAAAATGTTACATGTTGTCTTTCTGGATTTTGTTGTTGTTGGGATTAAATGAAATCAGTTGCTCTTATTTAATGGAGCAACCATTGTGTTGCATTTGTAACCAGTGGTAATATCCAACAAGGGCCTCCACTTTGATGATAAATAACTGAGGATGAGCATCTGGTTGAAATACTGTATTAGTCCATTTTTCATTATTATAACAAAATACCTGAAGGTAGGTACTTTAAATAAAAGTTTATTTAACTCACCAGACGGGAGATTCAAGAGCATGGCGCCACCATCAGCTCAGCATTGGTGAGGTCTTAGTGATAGATGACACCACAGTGGCAGGAGGGTACCTGGCAGTAACAGATCACATCATAAGACAGAAAGGCAGAACAGGAGGAGGAGTTTTTTGCAGTAACTCTCTCTTGCAGGAAGAGTCTCATGATAAAAACTTTTGTCACTTCTAGAAGCACCCTTCCAATGATTGAAGGACTTCCCATCTTCTAATGTCCTGATACTTCCCAACATTAAACTGGGGACCAAGTTCCCAAAACAGGAACCTTTGGGGGACAAACTCAAACCATGTCCAAACCATCACAAATTTCTGTTCTTGTCCTGCAGAGCAGAACTCCTAGAATTAGACATTAGCGTTCATTACTCTGCAATTTCAGACAAGTCTTTTCGTGACTGTGGGTGTGCTCCAAGGATGGCCCACTGGTACCTGATACAGGTGTGAGGCCCAGGAGATTCTCACCTTTCTTCCTCCAGGTACATCCAGTTGGCAGCCTGTTTGACCCTCTTTTCACCTCATGATGCGGCACAGTGGTCTGTGGAGGTCCGCCAGGTCACCCTGCCCCAGACCCACGTATGTCTGTGCTCACTTAGAAGCAGTGCAGGCTGTATGGTGGTGACATCCTTAAATTGGCTTCCAGTTTCATTAGTGAGTCTGACCCAGGCTGTGTGTCTTCATGAAAGCAGCAGCTGATAACAGACTCTTACAGTTTGTTATCAGTGGCCCTGAGCCCTGTTGGGCTCAGATAGATGAGCTGCGATAGGCATAGAGGGGCTAAGATATGAGATAATGTCTCCGCTGAGGCCCGCATGATTCCAGAGGAAAATTCCTTCCCAGAATTAACTACAAAGCAGATTACTCATTAACCGTAACCTAAATCTGTCTGTTCTGTCCCTTCCACAAGAATGCTTCCTTTCCTCTGTTACAAGCCCTGCCAACCTCGCCCCTTGTCTACCACATCCAGTTGCAATCCCCTCACCATTTTTCTCAAATAATAAATACCAAACTTCTGGGGGACTCCTGGCCTTCTGCTCCCTGAGAAGTACTGGTCATCCCAGATCCTTGCCTGTGCCTCTGTTTTGTGTCTTGGTCTTTCTTCCCGCCATTTGCCATTAATCTGAGCAGGAGATTGAGAACTCACTGCAGGGTTTTCTGAATAACTAGCATCATGGAAATGTCTCTAGTAGGAGGTCAGCAAACTATAGTCCTCAGGCCAAATCTAGCCTACCACATATTTTGTTAAATAAAGTCCTAGCCCAACACAGTTTATTTGTATGCTGTCTATGGCTGCTTTAGTAATATACTGGTAGAGTTGAGTAGTTGTAACAGTCTTTAAGGCATAAAATATCTTCTCTAACCCTTTAAAGAAAAGTTTGCCAGCCTTTGGTGCTATATAAAAGGGTTAAAGATGGATTCTGTTGGGTTAACCCGGAAAGTGGAGTTCCATCCCTTCCTCTGTGCTCTCCTTCAGTCCTGACATGGATTAAAAACCAGAAGACTTTCTCCCGCTGTGTCTCAGACATATAATCTTCCAACACCACTGCCCCGTTTCCATGCCTGCAAGTGTCCTTGGGTGAACTGGACTAAGATAACCATGTTAGGGGGATAAAGCTCCATGATACATGTCACTGGGCAGCCAGAGGACCTCTGTGCTGGCAAATCACATGGACCAAACCCTGTGGACCACACCTAATCAATCAGTGATAGCCACGGCAACATTGTCTGTTGATTATATTTTCTCTTATTGTTTCCTGTCTAGCCAGCTCGCCACAAAACAGAGTGATCAAACAGGCCATGTCCCTTTCTTTCTCAAACACCTCGATGGCTCTCTACTACCTTCAGGATAAAGCCTATGCTCCTGCATGTGACGTTCAAGGCCTCTTGCGGTCTTACCTTTGCCAGCCTCCCAGCTGCGTGCCTCCTGCTCAGCCTGCACAACTGCTGAGCATTCCCATACCACGCGGGGTTCTTCAGACCAAGACGTCCATGTTTGTTCATTCTTCGGGAAATGACACTTGTTCATCCTTCATGAAGTACTTTGCTCTTCTCCTCCATCTGCCAAATCCTGGCCATCCTTCAGTCCCAGCATGAGCAGCTCCCCTCTGTGGCATTTTCCCTTATTTTGCAGGTGAGATGTGCGCATGCCTGCTGTGGATCACTGTCGTCCTCATGAACCTTGGCTCCTAGACCATGAACGATCACAAAGGCAGTGCAGTGGATCTTGGGCACCTTTTAAAGGTCACTTGGTAGTGCGCTGCTCCTTATCAGGTGTAGTTAGAGCACAGGACAAAGAGCACAGGCCTGGAATTCAAGTCTGGCTCTATTGTTGATCAGTCATGACCCTGGGCAAGTGACTTAATCTCTCTGTTCCTCAGTTTCCCAATTTTTTAAAACAATGGTAATGATAACACTGTCCTCATAGCATGTCATGAGAATTAAATTAATTAATGTGTTTTGAGTCTCCAAAAATGACAAAAATCTGAAAGCTCCACAATTCTTGGGTATAATGAAATAAATAGAAAATTCTATAGTATAGTACCAGTTTTCATCCACAAAATTATATAAGTATTCTGTAATATTGGTTTCAGGCTCTGTATATAAGATGAATCAGTGAATTTACTGCTTAGACTTGAGTCGCAACCCCAAGATGTCTCGATATTTGTATATGAAAATATTCCAAAATCTGAAAAGCCTGGAACAATTAAGCATTTCAGAACACATTTAATCTGAACAGATTTTGCATTCAAATATAAATATATAATTTATAGCATACATCTCTGTACGTATTGTATATGTGTATGTATAATACCTTAGAGCAGTACCTATCCACATAGACAATATTATAAACATGCTAGCTGGTGTGTATGTACACACACATGCATATGCATTTGTGCATGTGTACATGTGAGTGTAAGTGTGTGCCTGTAATTTATGAGAAGCACTGTCTAAAAGCTTCCAGGCTGATGGAAATTCATTGTGACATTTATTAAAGTGATTATTTGAATATATTATGATTTTGTTTTTCACTCTTTCATAGACAGGGACCTCCTGGTGGGCAGGGAATGTGACTTGCTGACTTCTGTGTTCTAAGCACCCAGCAGCACCCTTTATAGGTCTTTTTGAATAAATGACAAGATGAGTGCCATATCCTGAAGCTGAGCCACCGCAAGGTCCCTTTTCTGCAGGCTCAGGTCCTGCATCCTTCATTCCCCTCCTCCACCTCCTGCTTCTCTAAGCTTATATGAGATTTGGGGGACTTTCTGAGGAAATCCGGTCTTCACAGGGAATACGCGATCACATCTCACTGTCAGCGGAAGGGAGGTAAGCACGAGGAACCCTCAAGCGAGAAATGGAGTCTTCAAACTGACTCTGAGGAAAATGGAAACTCCAGCTGACCTAAGAGATTTCTATAATGAGAGAAAACCAATTTAAATGCAAATTACTCCTGGCATGGTTAGGGCAAGGCTTCTTGCCGCAGAGAAAGTCTGGGAAAACAAACACTGGCTTCATCATGAAGCCACCTCACCATCGGACAGGACAGCTATTTTATCCACTCAGGATCACAGTCTAAACTAGTGACAAAGAATCACATGCATTGCTGGCAGCATCCCCTGGTGCCGCAAGGTGCTGACTGGGAAGTGGGTGTCCCTGCGGCCACTACCACTTACCACACCCAAGCAGGTCAGGCGCCAGGCAGGCCTGCAGAGAACAGAAGGTGGGCACACCCAGGAGCTGACCTTGATGGTTGCAGCTGAGGGCATGCCCTGAAGTCCATTCTGGATGCAAAGAGAACTAACATTTCATTAACTACACACCAAGCCAGAGTAATAACTATGTGTGATAGTAACTCACAAATTCCCACAGAAACCCTGTGATGTAGAACCTACTATTTCTCCACTTTTACAGATAAGGCTGCAGGAGGGTAAGAAATTTGCCCATGACTGCTGAGATTCACCCAGGAGAAAATAGTGCCAAGTAAGTGGCACTGTTCTCCCCCAAAAGGCTGGGAATAAAGGTTCTGCAGAAGGCATGGGATTGCTGTGTCCAGCCCTGGGTTCTGTCAGTGTGCTGATGCACACCCAGAGGTACCTTCTGCAGAGCAGGTGCCCAAGGTCAGGATGTTGTGGGACAATGTCTTCCACCAGTCTTGATCGAGTCAGCAAAATGCAATATTCCTCAAGGTATCAAGACCTGTGGGTTGCTGTGCCACTAACTGGCTGTGTAAACTTGGGGATCAGTTTCTGTCTCTGAGCCTCATTTCCTTATATAAGACGAGGAGCTCCAAATTAGTCATGACTCTGAGAATGTATTCTTCTGGGACTCCAGCTACCCTCAAGAACCACCACTGACCAAATGACAAAACACCTCCTTCCTTCCCTTGTCTCTACTCCACCCTACTCCGGCCCTCTCCTCTGTTGGCCCATATCTGTTGCAATGGGGCACTTTAATTTCCTCCTTTGGTTTCATAATTCAAGGACAGCACCATCTGCCACGTTAAATCCGCACACTCTGCTTGCCTCTTTCTTAAAATAAAGGATGGATAAAGGCTTCATCCGGTTTATTTCATGGATGGAGCAAGAGCTGGCAAAACCCAGTGGGAGCAGCTTTGGTCTCAAAAGCTGCATTAATCCCCTAATCTTCTGGTAGGACCCAGAAGCTCATTCTTTCATCTCTCTGCCTACCCCAGCCAAATCATGATGATGAGGAGGATGATGGATGTTTACTGAGGCTTTTCTTTGCTAGGCATTTTCCTAATTGTTTTGTGGGTTAATTTACTTACTCTCTCTTGCATCTCTGGGACAAAAAGGCTGACAGTAATGACCCCATTTTAAAGATGCAGAAACTGAGGCCCAGGAGGTTAAACAATGTATCAAGGCCACTTAGCCAGCAAATTACAGAGGCTGAGTTTAAACCAAGTGGGAAAATGAACATATATATGTATATATACACACAAAGATGGTCAAGAGAATCCAGAGAACCCAAGAGAACCCAGGCTTCACTGCTGAACTCCTGACTGTTAATCTTCTTGAGTTGAGGCCATATTCGCCTTTTAAACATTTATGTGACATGTGTGCCCTTCACTGTGTGCTGGTAGCTGCTATCCACAGAGGGAACCAGTTTTGAGGAAGGCCCTTGGGGACCCACTTCCATAGGATTGATCTAGCCTGGCAACAGGTACCAACCAAGCAACTGAACGGACATTGTCACTACAGGCGACAAGAAAGCACCATGAAGAAAAAACAACAGAGATGTGAGAGAAAGCCCAATAGAGTTAAGAAAGGGCCTGGCTACAGAGGCCATCAATCTCAGACGCTGGACTGTACGTGGTCTTATGCATTACAAGACATTCAGTAGCATGCAGCAAGATCCCAGGAACTGTCCCCTCCTCATTGTGATCATGAACCTTTTCAGCCATTGCCAGATGTTCCTCTGGGGGCCAACCATCAGCGGTGAGAAGAGCTGCAAGCAGAAGCAGCTGTGTGAGAGGAGAGCAAAGTATTGTGGGAAGTTTCTCAGAGAACCGAGAAGCAGCCAGAGGACTGATCTGGCTGACAGGCAGTGGGCCAGGGAAGATGGCACAGTTGTCACTGCCGTGTGCTCTTCAAAGCTCTCCTAAGAACCAGCAGTAATAATGGAATTTCTGCTCTGTGTCAGACACTTCACAAAGATGCATTGCACACTCCAAGGTGCTAGGTATCAGGGCAGGCTGACCAGACACACGTGTTCCTGAAAGCAGCGGTCAGCATGGGGCTGTCCATGGTGACAGAGTATCCCAGACAGAAGGCACGGAGAGTCACTTCAAGGAGAGTGACCAGGGGACCCGAGACCCTGGAGAAAGCAGTGGCAGAGCTGCTGTGTGAAGAGGTCAGAGGCAGCTGAAACCTTCGCCCCCCAGCATCCTTCCCTATTGTCAGCTACCTGCTGCCACTTCTGGGGCTCACACTTCGGTGAAGTTTCTCATGGCAGTGCTCCCGAGCCTCACGAAGGGGCTGGCATGAAAGCCAAGGTTGGCCATCAGATTCTTTCTTCCCGGAATTAGAAGATTGGGCAGAAAAACTCAAGGGCATTAAATGGTCATAGTCAATTTTTCTAATGGAAACGGAACAAAGCATGCTCTTTGTTCTGACATTAATTTTAGCCATCTCAACTCCCTAGGAAGCAGTTGTATGTGCGTTTCTCTCAAGGTCTAGGTTTTCAGCTTTTTGTTCTAATACCCTCTTTGCTACAGGGAATTTGCTCAGGGTCTTTGCCTTGAGCTACATCAACAGCATTTACTTGTTTATTTGCTTGCTTGCTTGTATGTTTGTTTATTATTTTGAGACAGGGTATCACAAAATTGCTCAGGTTGACCTCAAACTTGTGATTCTCCTGCCTCAGCCTCCCAGAGTGTTAGATTACAGGCACATGTCACCACACTCAACTTTTCTGAAGTCCTTTTAATGTACATCTACTTAATTCACCAGAGTGAGTTTTTGATGCTCAAAGTGCAATTAAAATAGAAACAATGCCACATGAACAGGGGGACAAGACTGTAGGTGTTTCTGATTCATTGCACTCACAAGTTTGTATTCAATAAGCTGTGTGTCTCTTTCTTTCTTGGTTGCAATCAAGGTTTCAACACCAGGACTGTGTCTTCCCATCTTCACATCCACAGTGCTGAGCTTATTGACTTTTCTTTCTTTGTGCTCACCATGGTTTGTAATTCTATTCATTCTGCAGTATCCATGGAGAATTGGTTCCAGAATCCTGGTAGATACCAAAGCCATAGAGGATCATGTCTGTTATACAAGATGGCTTAGTGTTTACATAGGACTTATGCACACCATCATGTACACGCGCTTAAATTGCCTCTGGGTTACTTATTATATCAAATACAATGTCAGGGCTGTGTAAATTGCTGTTATACTATATTATTGAGGAATAACTACAAGAAAAGAGTCTGCACACTTTCAGTACAAATGTAATTTTTTTCAAATATTTTCAGTTCAACGAATTGAGTCTAAAGACAAAGGAGCCACAGATACAAGGGGCCAACTGTGTACATTTCTTTGTGAGATCATTTGTTTAATGTCGTCCTTTTTCACCATGTAGAGGCCAATGAAGATAGAAAGCAGGTAGCTTACCCTAACCAGTGGGCTGGTCAATCAGCTCTGTATACCTTGACCTGGAGGATTTTTGGGGATATGGACTTCCAGGGTTAAAAGTGAGAAAGTCCCAGGCAAGTTAGGATAGTACCCTTCCAGTGTATGGCATACAGAAAACTTCAAGCACCATTGATGCTAGTCACTCAAGAAACATATGTTGACATGAGCTAAACTTAACTATAAAGGCAGCCAAGCATATTCATGCATTCCAAAATATTTCATCATGCCTACCGCATGCCAGGTAACCAACCCACTGGGAAGACACAGAGGATTGAAAGAGAAGAAATATTGGCAGCCATGGCTGCTCTAATGTTACAGATTGAATTCAGATTGCAGGGGTATTGAGAGATAGGCTCAGAAACCTGGGAATATGCACAGCTTCGCCAATTTAGAGGCACAAAGGAGACCCCAAGAGAGGGACACTTTTCGGGTGATGTATTGGCAGCTCGTCCCTGACTCCCTGACAAGGAAACATCTACAAAGAGAAGAAGCAGAAGGTATTGAGAGAGGGGATGGAACTTGAAATCAGCAAGTTATTTGATTGTTTCCTTCTAAATTCTGTGCTGGGTAGAGAAAAGGGGTTAGAAACATCCCTTTTCATCTCAGGCACAGCCATCTGCTCTGTTCAATGAGCAGAAAAATCCACCCCCGGGAAACGTGAATTTATTTGTGGGTATGTGATGAATCCCACATCTTTGCTTTGCATGGAGAGCCAGTGACCGAAACCATCTCACAGGGTCAATTTGATGAATTACAACCCTGTTTCACTAGTAGGTGAGAAACACATTTTTATGGAGCTGCTGGAACATTTTTATGTTCTCCAACTTACAAGTTCTTGTATTAAAACCTAATCTCTAAAGCGAAAATATTAGGAGTGGGAGCCTTTGTTAGGTGCTTAGGTATTGGTGAGATCTGGAAGAATGGGATTAGTACTCCTACTTAAAAAGCTCCAGAATGTTCCCTCTTTCCTTTCGCTATGTGAGGATGTGGCAAGAAGGACTCACCTATGAAGCAAACTGCAAGCCCTCATCAGATACTAGATCTGCTGGTCTTGGACTTCCAGACCCTAGCATGGTGAGGGGTAAACTTGTGTTGTTTGTAAGCCACATAGTTTATGGTATTCTGTGATAGGAGAGTGAATGGGCTAAGACATGAGCCAAACAAAATTTTAGATGGCCTTTCACAGAATTTTAGGGCCTAGAAGGCCTTAGAAAAGAATATTTCTCTAATTTGGTTCCCTCATTTCAAACCAGGGAAAGCATCTTCCTAAAAGGATCTGTAAGTGATAAGCCAAGGCTGGGCTACTCTCTCCTTAGCTCTTCTCATAAAAGAACTGAATCACATAAAAGGGGTCCCTTGTCCCTCAAGGTCAGGAGAAGGTTCTAGAAAAAAAAAAGCACTAAATCTTATAGTGAGAGAAGTTTTTTTTTTTTTTTCCTGTTTAAATTCTCCTTTCAACTCTTCCCATTATACCAAGAAGAAAAATCTAACTGTGGTACTAAAAGGTCTTTAACACCTCAGTAAAATCTTGACACCTCTCCAAATCTCCTTTTTAAATGGAAATCGAATAGGCCTCAAGCCCAGAGTCTTTGATGGGCAACCTGTTCCTCTAGAACTTAATAATACTGCATTATTTTCATGGCATTTCTTTTTGTGGATGGTTTCTATTTGTGGTAGGTGTTATTGGCTTTCCATTTTTGGTAGTGTTTCTTTTAGAAGGAGTCACTTTAAGTTTTCAATTCAAGACAAACTAAAGAAAAACAGTGAAATGTAGACTAGACAACATGGTCTGTGGCTATAGAAAAATAATTGATAATCCTGAAAACAGTTGAAGTTTGAGACAGTGGTAGAGGTCAGAGGGAGTCTAACTTCAGGGCTACTCACCACAGTAGGCTCCACTCATGTCATTAAGAAAATGTCCAGCCTGAAATGGAAAAAGGTAACTTCCTAACTGAACTAGAGACAGAGGCATGAAAATGCTAGAAAGTTCTTTACATGACCTTGAACAGACAAAGCCTTTGGAGATGAGAGAGAACAGCTCTGTTGTTGAATTTGACAAAGGGCTGGTCTGTAAGTGATTCTATAATCTAAATAAAATTATGCCTAGCACCTTTATGTATGTTTCTATGAACAATAACTTTGTTAGCTTTCTGTCACTATGATGAAAACTAAGATAATCTACCTATGAGGAAGACAATGTTTTGGATCATGGTTTCTGAGGTGTCACTACATGGTTGGTACACGCCATTGCTTTTGGGCTGTGGCAATGTTGCAGGCAGCTGAGTTAGTTAGAAATATTATAGGCAGCGAGACAGAGCTAGGTCCTCAATGGAGCCAGTGCAGATACCTGGCAACTGCAGGGGAGTCTGACACCTCCTGCTTTGGGCCAGGCCTCAAGATAAAAGACCAAACAAATGCACCCATATCCTGAGGACTGATATTCTAAATAGTTCCCATTCCCTTAGGGAAGAGTCACTGCTCCTTAGGAATGCCTGCTTTCTATATCACTTGCTTTCTCATTTGTCCCTAATATAATCAATTTTACCTGAACTATTGATTTTATTGGCTAACTGTAGTTCTGTCCCACCTCATGCCCATCTGTCTTGTGAGCTCCCAGTCTTCCCCCACCTTGAACCCATGGTTTTACTCTACAAAGTCCCTGGAAAAGACAGAGTCCTTGGCAACCTGCTTGGGATCCCTTCTGTCTCTCTTTAGACAGAAGTGTTCTTTCTCTCAGTACATATATTCTGCTCTTAACCTCCATTGTTGTTAAAATTCATTCTTCAATTTTAGAGAACACAAGCTCGTATCAGACATAGTAGGTGAGGAGCTTCATTCCCCTATATCAGCAAGGCAGCACATTGTGATGGGATCGTGTACCAGAAGCTGTTCAGTTTGTGGCACTCCGAATCAAAAAGAGACACAGGAAGGGGCTGGGATGCTAATATTCCCTTACAGAACACACCCCCAAAGACCTAACTTCCTTCCACTAAGCCCCACCTCCGAAAGGTTCCTCCATCTCCCTATAGTGCGTGGGCTGGGGTCCAAGCCTTCAGTACGTGGGATTTTGAAGGACATTTCAGACCCAAACCATTGCAACCACTGACGCAGTTAGTAGCAATGATGGGAGAAGGGCAGTGGCAGCAGCTGCTGCTTATCGAGTCTCAGTGCTAAGCTTTTCACGAACTTCTGAGCATGTCTCACAGAACTCCTTTAACATCTCTATATGAATGAGTGACCCCTATCCAAAATGCTTGGGACCAGAAGTATTTCAGATTTTGGACCATTTATATATTCACCATGAACTATTTTGGAGATGAGACCCATGTTGGAATATAAAATTCATTTATATTTCATACACCTTATATACTAGCCTAAAAGTCATTGCATAAAATAGTTTAAAATATTTTTGTGCATGAAATGGAATTTCTGTACTTTACATCATCAGATTTCATGAATGGAACTTTCCACTTGTGGCATGAAACTTCTTATAGTTTGTATTTTAGAGTATTTCAGATTTCAGATTTTTTGACTAGCCCTCTTCACTATGTGCTATTAGTGCAAATAATATGTAACAAGTAAGCAGCACGAGATCTCTCATGTCTGTAGTATTGAGATCTCTTCAAAACTCTTCTTCATTCATTTAGTCCTAACAACCAGCCAAGGAAGCAAGTGTTACTGGTCCCACTTTACAGATTAGAAAACCAATGTAGAAAGAGGCTCAGGAGGTCAGAGATGATAGTAATAGAAGCAGGGTCAAGGCCAGACATTCTGGCTTTGGAACCTGAGCTCAGCCATTACACCTCATGGAGATGAATGAACAATGGCTTCCTGTCTGTGTCACTGAAGAGGACACTGGGCTGCTAAACTTCTGAGTCAGCTATGCCCTCCTCAAAAGTGAGTCACTGCACTAATTCAACAAATATAAGGTGTGATCCAAAATATGGTACTTAAATAAATGTTAAAAATTTTATTATGGTAAAACACATATTACCATTAATCGCCTTTGGCATACTCCTCCTTGCTTTGAACATGCTTATCCCATTCTCCAGAAAGTATTCTTGCCAATTTGTGAAGCAGTCCTCTTTTAGGACTGCCTTTATGGCTGCCTGGATCTGTCTTGAATCAGTTTAAAATATTTATAACAATTTCTGTCAAATAAAAACATTATGGTGTGTCTTCATCTACCTTCTTCACTGGATCAGACACAGTACAACTTCTGGCTCTTTCTCCAGGCAAAAATGAGCATGAAAAGTAAATGTCTTGAACTGGTTCAGGACATCATGGCAATAAAGAGTAACTGAAGACACTCATGGAAGAGGACTTCAAGAACTACTTCAGAAAGTGAGGAAGATGATGGGATAAATGTGTTAGAAGAAGCAAAGGGGAGTATTTTGAGGGCGATTAATGGCAGTGTGACCTTAACTGCAATATTTTTAAAAAATTAAATATTCGTGAGATGGAGGGAAGAAAAAAGAAGAGAGAAAGGAAATGGAAAAAGGAAAAGAATTGAAGGAAGAAAAGTGATGAAAATAGAGCCTTTGCATATGAGGAGACTAAGTATTGGAAGGAGCAGGGAGTGTGAGTAGATGGAAATTTAAAAGAAATTAAGATATATTATGCACATGTACCAACTCCTGTGATAAAGGAAATCATTATGTATTGCAAACATGTACTATTTATTGAACATTTACCATGAAGGAAAAATAATTCTTCCTGTACTGGTTATCTGCAGTGTGGGGAGTGGATCCATTTCTTCCCTCTCCGAAGTAGAGAAGTTACCCTCCATACTTCTTATCCAGGCTCTGAGCTATACAGACAAGTGTAATTCACACCCAGTCATGAGCCTGGCTAGGTAGAAGAATTAGAAAACTTGGAGTCATAGAATCTTGATTCTGGTCCCAGTTTAGCATTTTTTGTGTAAGTCTCTTTTTAATCTACCAACTTCAATTTCCTCACCTAAAAATGGAGCTAATTAACATGGTCTGGAAGAACTCACAGGGAATGTTGAAAGGCAGGTGACACAGTATAGGGAGAGATCTTTTTGAGCTGAATGGTAGCCATAAGCTGGATGCCACAGCACATGCCTATAATCTCAGCACTCTGGAAAACCCAGGCAAGAGGATCATAAGTTCAAGTCCAGCTTGGGAAAATTAGTGAGATTTTTGTCTCAAAATAAAAAAATGGAATAGCTGCCTACCTGAGTGGGAAGCCTTGGGTTCATAGCCTAGTACTGTTATTTCAGGGAGCTTCTTCTAAAAGCAGCTTGCCAAATAAACATTGGCAGGTTGTGGGTTATTTGTCTCTCCTTCTAGAGTTAGGTTCTAGGTTCTTCTAGTCTTAAACAAAGAATTGAACACAATGAGCTAAAAATCAGTGGCAAAGTTTATTTGAAAAAGTAAAAGTGAAGCATAGAAGAGAACCTGGCTCTGCAGAGTCATCTTGGACCAAGTTGAAAAAGGAAGGCAAGATAAAAGTACACCCTGGAGGATGCAAGGTGGGCTAGCATCAGGAGAGCCACAGTGGAGGGCTCCTCTTGACATCCGTGCCCTTTATGACATCCACATTTTTGGGAAACGTATGAGAACTTCTATATACGGGTCCTGAGGGGTGATGCTAGAATCCCAGGCCTCAGGCTGATGTCCCATCTAGGCCACCCTGTTGAAAACTGGCTCGATTTCTCATAAGTCCACGTGCAAGGCTTGGAAACTGTTCTGCGTACATGTTCCAGGATCTTGTTAACAGGTCATGTCTACCTCCCCAGCCAGCTTTGCCATGCCCCAGTTGCCCATTTCATTTTCTCCTGAGAGACACACAATTTTTATGAAGTGCTGAGGAGTGGAGGTCTCTGTCTTGTATAGCTTTTTCAAGCTGGATAAGGCTGTAAACCCTACAGAGATCACATGTTCTCCAAATATCTTGGGGTTCTGTGGCTCTCTGGCTGGACTGAAGAAAGAAAACCCTGTCATAAAACAATGAAAAAAAGAGTCAAGGACAATTGAGCTGCCTGTTGGACAGGAAAAACTTCACTATTAGTCCAAAAGTGGGGAGCAGGTCAGAGTTCCATGTTTCCTGTAGCAGCACTGGAGTCTTACTTTTGAAGAGAAATCTCAGCTCTTCCAGAGGTTCACAAGTAGCTTTCTCCTTTTGGGTGATCTTGTTGAGACAATTCAGATGGGACTGGCTGTATTTTAGAAAGATGAGTCAATATCTATCTGCCATCTTAATTGCAATGGGTGTGGCAAGGATTACTGAGAAGGGGCCCTTTCATTTTGATTTTAATCAGTGGGTGTCCCCTGTTTCCAAGCTTTCACAAGCGCTTGGCCTCCAGGATGGACAGTAGGTGGTCATCTTCAGCCAGGATCTGGAAGGATTCTGTTCCTATACCTTTGGATAGTCTGTTGTTTTTGGCCAAGATTAGTGAGCCTTGTGGTCTTTGGGTCTACTATCATATCAGGGAATAGAAATGGCCTCTAATATAACATCATAAATAGATCAACTTATCCCAGTTTGGAGCATGGTATGAATCATCATGAGTTCTACTGGCAGCAACTGGCAGAACTCAGTCATATGTTGGTAAAGTTTTGCTTTAGGGTGTGATTGACTCTTATCTTTCCATCAGATTAGGCTGCCTTATTCTAAAGGTTTTGCCATTCCCTGGGTTATTAGGTAATGCAATGTCCAGTGTCACTCTGAAGGGACTGGAAAGCTAGTCCACAATTAGGAATTCAGCTGCTACAAACCAAGCCATCCCTAGGAAGGAGTGAAGCTGTTGCTTGGTGGCAGGAAGCCCAAGATAATAGATAGCCTGGATCTGGTCCCTAGATGGCTGTCATTCCCCAGATATAAGAATAGATCCCAGATATTGAGCTTTCTGGAGGAATATCTAAGTCCTTTCTTTGGAGATCTTATATACCTTTTTAGGTAGAAAGTTGAGAGTCTGTACAGTGTTAAGAGTTAGATAGTTCCTTAGATGGGCTGCAAACTAGAATATCATCTATATACTGTAGGATGACTCCCTGTTTAAGCTTTAAATTCCTCAAGTCTTTCTCTAGTGTGTGAGCAAGAAGTTGAGACTCTAAACCCTTGTTTGAGAACTGTCCAAATATATCGCTGCTTTTCTCTTGAAATGGGACTTTCTCATTCAAAGGCAAGCAGCAATTGGGAGTGTGGATGTAGGGAGATGGACAAAAATGCATCTTTAAATCTAAGACTGAGCATCAGTTAGTGTGCCCTGAAATTTGAGGAACAGTTGTATATGGATCTGCCACCAGAGGACAGACTGAAATGGTAGCTTTGCTAATGAGGCAGAGGTCTTAAACTGTCCATCATTCTGCTGAGGGTCTTAGCACAGGAAGAACGGGAATATTGCAAGGGGACTGACAAGGCTTCGGAAGGCCATGTTTGAGAAACTTGTCTATGAGAGTCTGAAAGCTTTACATGCCTCTTCCCTGATTGGGTACTGTTTTTGGTGAGGAAATCAGCTGGGAACTTTTAGCCTTATAACTATTGGCACAGCATAGTTTTCCACATCGGGTGTTCCATCATACCATGCAGCAGGACTGGCTTGTTGACTAGTTTGTTCAGGGAGACCTGGTGTAGTCCCAACACACAAAATCCATTATGACCTCAGTCAGACTTTGAGAATTGCACACCCAATTCCAGTTTTGTTAGTAAATCTTTTCTTAGCAAGGAAATAGGACACTGAGGAGCAATTAAAAACTCACAATTAGACATTTGACTTTCAAAGTGACATGTCAGAGGAGGGGTAAAGAATCTCTGACTAGGGGTCCCTTTTACCCCAACCACAGCTGTAGGATGTGAGGAGACTTTAGCGGAGAGTTTTCCAGGGAGAGAAGTAAACACAGAACAAGCTGACCCTGCATTGATAAGCAGTTGAATTGGCTCACACATGATGTCTGAGATTAGCTAGTGTTCTTTGAGGAGAAGGTGCTATCTATGGACAGAGGCACTGCAGGTTCCCCTGGGCCTCTTCATTTGAACAAGAAGTGAAGAGTCTTGGCTGCCTAGGCCCTCTCTGAAACTGGGGATAGTCACTCCAATGCCATGAATCAGGCACATTTGCTGCCTCACATACACAATAGGGCACAGGCAGAGGCTTGGGAGAGCCCAATGTCCAATCCTTTTGCACTTAAATTAGGCATTCTTTTCCTGGCTGTGCCTGTGTTTTTCCTTAGACAACTTGCATGGGTTTATAGCATCACCAATTGCAACAGCCATGAGCCTAGCTTTCTTCTTTTGTCTCTCCTCTGGGTCCTGACTGTTGCACACAGAAAGGGTCATGTCCAGCAGTTGGGCTATTGGTGTCTGTGGCTCCATATGAGGTTTTTGTAGTTTACACAAAATATCTGGGGTTGACAGAGGAAATGATGTCCCACTACTGCTTCTCCCTGCCCTGGAGGGTGGATCTATATTTTCAAATTTATAAAAGATCCTATTAATCAGTTACAGAAGAAAGTTGGAGTTTCCTCTGTGGCCCATATGACCCCACATACTTTATCAGTGTTCATAGACTTTTTCATTTCCATGATAAGAGCAGCTAACATTTGGACATCATTTCTAATCCATGTCTAATATTAGAGTCCCAGTATGGTTCAGTTGGAGGAAGAATAGCTAATCCAGGAGGGTTTCCTTTCCTTTTCCAAGTGTGTTGGTCAACTGCATAGTTTCTTGCCTCTTGTAGGATTCTTTGTCTTTCATCTTGGGTGTAGAAATTGGATAAGATGAACTGGACGTCTCACTCTGATAAAAGCAAGGGTCAAAGTTTGAAATTCCCTGCAAACTTGCTATTGTTCTTTGACTGTTGGCCTAGTCTTTCTTTGCACTGCTAGACAATTACAAATGAAAGAGACCTATGCTTGAGTATTCCATCCTGCCCCTGGGACTTCTTTTAGGGGCAGGACAAGTTGTGGATTAGGTGAGTAAGAAGTACCACTTTGGATTTGACCTGCAGGGTTTAAAGCTTTCTGAGAAACATGATGAGGGGGCTGAAGAATGCCAGGCACCTCTGGGGCACTGGGCTCTAAAGGAGTTCCTGAGTCACCTGAGGGGTGGACTTGATTTCCTGGCATGGGGACTACAAAGAGCAGTTTGAGGGGGTCTCTCAGTTCCATCAAACAGATCAGAGACCTGGAGCCCCCTAAAAGAAAGACAAAGTGGGGGGTCTCAGGATGGGGTCATTAAGAGTATTTTCTCTTCCTTGGGAGGTATACTCTCAGCACCACAGTTCCCAAGCATTCCCTTTGATGGTCACAAAAGCCTGAACAGAAGGCATTTCATTCCACATTGCATGTTTTAAGTCGAAAGCCTGTAATTGGAAAATAGTCTCATAATTTAAAGTACCATCCCATACTCATCCCTCACCACCTCCTGGTTTGTAATGAACCCAAGCCATACTGCATAAGTAGGGAAGCTGTTTCTGTTTTAGTCTGTCGGAATCAAACCTTTCCCACTTATCAAGAATATGGCCCAGTGGTGAAGTCAGTGAAATCCACATGGTGGCAGAATCCAAGAGGCTTCCCATTGGCTTGGCTTGGGACCTATAGAGACAAGGAGACAACTAAATCTTGACTTGTTAAGATCATGTTCTGTGCAGAAGGAGACCTGAGGGTTCCATGAACTGTATCTTGTGAGACCTTAATGAAGTTTAGACAGACATCTCTATCTAAGTGATGCAGGCATTATTAAGCACAGAAGAAAGCCCTTCCTCCTGGGGGCTTTTGTTTTCATATTTGGACCCATTAGCTCACAAGGGACAAGGGACAAAGGCACCTGCTAGCCTTACCTAGTCCTTTAACTCCTGGCCTCAGGGGTGGAACTCCCCCAACCAAAGTTCCTTTAGCCACTTAGTTGAACTTCTTGATGGTTCTACTTGCATTTCTTGTCCCTTGATTACTCTGTTTATATTCTGAGCTTCTGGATGGATCAGCTGGTATTTTAAGTCCCTTAACAAGAATGGAACCAAATGGGGAAAATGAAATGAAACGAAACAAAACAAAACATAAAACAAAGCAAAGCAAAACAAAACATAAAACAAAGAACAGGGATGACTCTGTTTTTGTATACTCACAGTGTCTTTAACTAAATTTTAAATGCTATTTGTTCTGCTCAGGTCATCAGGCATAGAATTTTAAATTATCTGAACTTCAACAAGGAAGAAATCCAGCTGGGAAGGTCTAGTCCTAGGCAGTATTTGAGACAGAGAGGAGTGAATTAGCTAAAGACTGAACAGGCCCTCCCAGCCACTGCCCAGCCCAGGCAAAAGTCTTGGGCCTTTAAAGTAGACAAAATTTTCTTTTTTGTATGAAGAAGAGTCACTATGTCAGTTAAAATAATTCAAAAATAAGGAGCTCCTCAAAATCAAAGGGTTAGCTCAGAAGGCCAGTTAGTAAAAAAGAAAAACATGGTGGTAACTGACCTAAGTCCCTCTCTAGCCACATGATAGGGAACCCCTAATCCTAGCGTCACACCAAACCACAAACCAGGGAACAAAGTCCATTTACAAAACCAGGGCAAGTGGAGACCTCATTAATTTCCATAAAAGAGTAACAAAGTATGACCAACAAACAAATGGACAAGGGCCTGTAGAGTGAGCACAAGCCGCTAGAAAGAAACCCCCAAACTGATGTTTCTTTCCCCCATCTCCATGGTCGGCCCTATACCGTGCCTTGAGAAGAGTCCCCCTGTTCCTGGCTTAGGACAGAGCATGAGGGAAAGAAGGAGACAAAAAACAAAACAAAAATTATGCTCAACTTGGGCCTTACCTTGGTCTCCAGTACCTGAGCTTTAACGACCATCATCTGGCTTGCCAAAATGTTATCAGGTAATTCCTTTTAAAAGTGGCTCACCAAATAAACATTCCAGGGTTTGGGCTGCTTGCCTCTCCTTCTGGAGTTAGGCTCCAAGTTCTTCTAGTCTTGAACAAAAAATTGAATGAAACAGACCAAAAAAAAAGCCTGTGGCAAAGTTTTCTTTGAAAAAGAAAAAGTAAAGAGCGAGGGAGAAACTGGTTCTGCAGAGTGAGCGTGGGCTGAGAAAAAGAGGAAACAGCAAGCACAAGTACACCCCGGATGGTGCAGGTGGGCTGTCAGGAGGACAGCCGCAGTCGCAGACCCCTCGTGGTGTCTGTGCCCTGCTATGCCATCTGCATCATGAGGAAGCTCACGGGAACGTCTACCTTGGGTCCTAAGAGACAGGGCTGGGGTCCCATGCCTCAGGCTGATGTCGCCTCTAGGCCATTTTATTGAAAACCTGCTCAAGTTCTCTTAAGAATCCATTCGAAGGGCTTTGGGAACTGTTCTGAATGTGTGTTGTAGGATCTTGTAATAAACATGTCACGCTTCCTTCCCTAGCCAACCTTGCTGTGCCCTAATCGCCTATCAAGTGGGAAAAAAAAAAGATTTATTGAAGTTGCTCTCCAGCACCTTTTTTTTTTGTTGTTTTAAGGTTAATATTTAAAATTTTAATTTTTAATTGACATACTATTAGCACATATTTGGAGGCCAGAGCAGGATAATCAAAGCATGTATACTCTTGTGATGAGATTATGCAGGCTGACCTTATAGAAATAGAAGTCACTTGATCTGGGAAGAGCAGAAGGAAAAGAATAGAGAGTTAGGATACGGGGGCTATGATGCGCTTAGAGAGAAAGAGTGAGTTCTGGCTTTCTGCAGTAGGGATGGTAACAATCGTCTACATCACTCATGTTTCAAAAGTCCTAGATGCGTCTGAAGCTTCTCAACACATAGAAATGGTATGTTTCGGAGGATAGGAAAATGCTCTCTGGTGAGGTCTTTGGAAAATAGGAGTGATTGTTTGTCTTAATATCAAAAATTTGAAATTATAGAGTAGCACACAGAAACAAAAATGGCTTATTACCCCACCACTCATGGATAATCTCTGCTGACCTGATGGCGTATTTCCTTCTGCATACATAAATATGAATAGAAATACAATCATTGCCCCTATGAAAACCCCACAGCACCTGGGATAAAATCCAAAATTCTTGTAAACATCTAATCTTGGCTGTCCATCTTTGCATGACCTGGTCCGTAGCCGGTCCTCTTATGCTGTCTCTCCCTACTTACACAATATTTATCTTCTTTCTCTCCCCATTGCACACCAATCACACAGCTCCTCAAGGCTTTGCTCTCTGCCTGAAGACTCTTCCCCAGACCTTCCTAGTTAGGTTTTTTCAGCATGCAGGTCACACTCAAAATGTTACCTCCTTGGATTATCCTTCCTCCACCACTCACTCTGACCCAGTGCATCTTATGTGGTGGTATGTCACCCTTTTCCTCATGGTGTTGCATTACCCTCAGCAATTATTTTATTTGTTCCATGCTTGTTGATTGCCTAGCTCCCCCACTTCATACACTGGACATGCCCCTCTTTGTGTTCCCAGTATTTAGAATAGTGCTAGGCATGCAGACATACTCATTAAATACTTAATAAGGAAATGAATTGAATTGAGGTATTATAAGACAGGATCCTGCATGAATGTTTTGCTCTCTGATTTTTTTTTCACTTTCAATGATGTGATCACATTGCCTTTTAGTACTAATATAATGTTTTGTGATATAAGTGTATTATAATGCTTAACCAAGCCTATTGTTAGCTAGGTAGCACATTTCTATGTTTGGAAATTAATACTACATTCCACCGACTGTTGTTATCCATACATATGTCTTGCATCTCTCCATCACAGTTTCCCTAGAATTAGTTCCTAATAGTGAAATTGTAGGATCAAAGCATTACGAAGTTTTAACCTGCTTGATAAGTCTTGCCAAACTGGCCTGTAGAAACCACCTCTAGGTTTGCTTTAATGACCCTCCAGTTTGTGGACTCCTCTGAAGGCCATATTCGTCATTATTTCCACTTACCTAGAAGAGCGAAGGCTAAGTCATTGCATAAGACAGATCACACCTACTTTCTCTGGAGAAATCATCTCCTTTTGCAATAATGACAACTTTTAGCCCTCGCTGACCATGTGCAGTGTGGAATATGCAGGGAGATATTAAGGCAGAACTCACGTCTTCAAGGCTGAGAAGTTACCAGTGCTGGAAACCACTATGGTCTACCTCCTCTAGCCTCCAGGAGCTCGTTGTTTCTCCTTTGACTGCCCAAACACACTGGCCTCAGTCTTCTGAACCTTGCTCTTACTTGGCCAAGTCCTCCGTGTTGCTGCTTCACCTGCCTTCACTTTATATCCTACTCTGTTTTATCACACATTCTGGAAACCCCCGTCCATGGTCCAGCCTCAGGGTTTCCTCTCAGCCCAAAACTGCCAGCCTCTCTTCTGATATTTAATCATTCTACTGCCTTGCATTGCTTGTATCCTGGGATGCCTGAGTAAAGTGGAATCTCAACTGAGTGCTTTTTATCCTCTGGAAGGTCATTCATAGTTTCATAGCATTTGGGGGGAGAATTGGCACTGGGATGGGACCTCAGCTCTGCCACCTAGCTCTGTGCTTTGGGACAATATAGTTAACTTTTCTGAGCCTCGGTTTCCCCATAAAACGGGATCACACTGGTGCCGATATGAAGGGATTGGTCTAATAATTCAAAGGATGTAAGTTACTTAGTCCCTGGCACAGAACAATCATTAAAAATAGTAAGAATGCAGTATTTATCTTAAGTTTGCTTTTCTGTGCCTCTAATAAAGAGTGAGCCAGGAACATGCACAATATTAAAGGAAATATTTGTGGAATGGAAGGAAATAAAATTGTGTAAGCATTTACTGAGCACATTTATCCTTTCTAGCCAGAAGCGAGTGTGGGAGGTGGTGGTGGGGGTCCTTGTTTAGACCCTAAGGACCTAGGACAGGAGAGAGACAAATTGCTCCCTGTAGCCAAAAACCTTGGAGCTTAACCCAAAACTCCCTCAAGAAGACCTGTCATGGATCTAATCTCCACAGCCACCTAACAGAAGTGTATTTTTATGCCTTCGAACTAATAAGAGGTCTCATTTGCTGAAACACTTTCTGTGAGCCAGATCTATGCAAGAGGCTTTGGAAAAATGTGATTTCATTGAAACACACACTATCTGGAGACAAGGATTCTTCTCATGGAAAAGAAAACAAAGTCAGAAAATTTAAGAAACTGCTCAAGGGCAAAGATGTAATGAGAGGAAAAAAGCAGAGGAGCCAAGATTTGAACAGAGGGGTGCTAAATAAATAAGTATACACATAGAATAAATAAATAAATAACATTAAAAAAGAGGCTGTTGTTTACCAGCTGGTGTAAATATTCTCCCATGCAATCAGACAGCACTTAAAAAGAGCCACGCTGAAATCTCGTGGAGACCAGTTAGTCTTCGGCCTTCTAACACATGCGTCACAGGGACAGTTTCTATTTCCGGTGCCCGCTGCAATCTCCAGGGAAATTGCTCCCCACCCCCTGCTCTGCGTCACGATGTTCTTGTTTTTCTCCTGGGCCCTGTGACTCAGCACACAGCGCCAGATGGCTTCCTGCGTTTTCAGCCTTGTTATGGACCCTGGTATAGTAAATGCACCCAGAGTAAGATGCAAGGGAGAGGCAGGACCCTTCTGCCCAAACCTCCATCGTGGACACTTTGTAGTCTGCTAGTCTTAGGTTGCCCTTCCCCTCCTCCAGCCCTATGTGGTTCCAGTGCAGGCTTGATGATGTGAGGGGCCCAGTCCTTCTGAATCTAGTGATCATGGGCAATTTACTTTCTGAACTTTAGCCAGAGGACCGCCAGGGTCACTATTATTATTATTTTTTTTTTTCTGAGAGTTGGTTACAGAGTTACTGCCACAAGGTGAAATACACAACTGCCTATTAAATTTAAATAACAGGCACATGACTATTTTTTAAACGTAAGTATGCTCCATATCTTTTATTTGAGTTTTACTGGGGATCTCGTGGCTTTATTTGCTAACTTTGGCAAAGCTGCATGTGGTATGGAGTGAGAAAACAAATGTGAAAGCACTTTGTCATCTGTCAAGAGCTACACTTAATACAATCTTTGTCATGAGACTTACATACTTATCCATTGCAACTGGCTTCATGTGGGGCGTAGAACATTCTTGCAGGCAGATGACAGAGCATCTTTGGGCCACCTCAACCTGTGAAGTGGCACACTGGGTCCTGTTTGTCAGTTGACAGCCCTTTGGACGTTTTCCCTCTGAGGCTCAGTGTGTCCATATTTAATTCCTCTTAATATTTGGATGAGAAACAGCAAGACTACAGATGCCCAAAACTTTGCCTACTGCTGACTACCTGGCAAGTCTGGGGACCAAATCTAGAGCTCATGTCTAAAAGAGTCAGGCAACATGACTTACAAGGGGTGTGTCATAAAGGATGTCTGTGCACAGTGTTTGGCTCTAAGATGTTTGTGCTGCCCTGATTAACATAGCAAGACAAAAGGAAACAGCGTACTATATATAGAGCAGTTGTTTATTTTGGATTTTGAGTGTCTCCTCCTACTAGAAATCTGAATTATGTAAGGGGAGGGAGTTTTACTGTTTTCTCAGAACAGTGCCTTGATCCCAGAAGGGTAGGACATTTGAAACCTAGTTTAGCTGGCCACATTAAAGAACGATCAACGCTTTCATTATCTAACACCAAGGAACCTTTCCTAGTTAGCTACTCTTCCTTTCTTTCTGAAGAATGGCCATAGCTTTATGGTTTTTGGAGCAATTTATACCACTTCCTAACAGAATTGTCACCAGCTAGTGACTCTCTCAAGTGTCTAGTGACCAGGGCTTTGTCTGTCTTCCCCTAAACTCCCCAAAGATGTGATTGCGACACTTTTGCACATTAATAGATTTTCATTATCTCCTGTTTCATCTGTTATATGCCTTCCTGATAAACACCTGACTCACAGTTTGCGAGACTAAGGGTTCATGTGGCTTTGCCTGGCTCTGGCAAGGGCCTGGTGGACTGCATCCCCTTTTGGTAGATGATATTTCAAGCCACAGCTGCTCCTAAGGCAGGAGTGATTGCCCAGCATGTAGCGAGAGCTTGGATTCTGTGACTGGCCACATCCTTAGCAAAAGAAATACAGGCAGGCTTTAGAAATACGCCTTCCAGAAAGCCCTAAGAACCCTGTTGATTTTGCTTGGGAATGTCTGATGGAGGAGCCTGACATGGCTGGCCACTGACATTTGAGAGAGACTCACCAGTCTCTGCAGCTGCATTTGGGTCTCACCACCTGAGCTGGCCCTTTACTGCATTTGATTCTACTTGAACTGCGGTCACTGGCATTCTTGCCTGATAATCCCCAAAGCTGGCTCCTCACCAGCCCTAGTCCAGACCTCCCCACCTTTCGCAGGACTCCTGGTTCATCCTTGGCTTCCCTGATTTCATACTTTCCTTCACAAATTCACCTTCCCCACAGCCCCAGAGTTCACTTTTTGTGAAATAAATGTCACCTGCAGTCATGTTGTCCCCTGGCTTCCATTGTATGAAATTTAGGAAGCCTAATGTCATCTCTAAAGTGTTTCTAAGTTTCTTTCAGAGAGAGAAGGAGAGGGAAACCATGCTCTCATGGCTGTTTGAAGCTGAGAGTCCTGGATTCTGCTGCAGTTTAGTATGGGGACTGGTCATTCTGCACACGCATGTACACATCCATACCAAACGCCCTCCGGTTGTAAGTCACATCTCTGAGACCTGGCTATGGCTCTTGTTTAAGTCTATTTTCTACTTTTATAGCAGAATACAATAGATGGGGCAATTTGTAAAGAATGGAAGTTTATTTAACTTAGGATTCTGGAGGGTGGGAGGTCCTTGACCATGGATCTGGCATCTGCGAGGCTTCTAGTGAGAACAATGTGACACGGCAAAAGGGAAAAGGCTGGGGAGAAGGACAAATGTGCTTCATAACAATTCAGTCTCACCAGGACAAACTCAGTCCTACAAGAACGGGATCAGTCAGTTCAGAAAGGTGGAGCCTTTGTGACCAAACAACACCCACTGAGACTTCCTTCCCAACACTGAAAAATTGGAAATTAAGGTTCTAACACTTGAAAATTCAGTAGAAACATTCAAACCCTAGTAGTCTCTTTCCCCCATTTGCTTCCCCAGAAAATTCACACTCACAGAATGTCATTTTTGCATGAGTCTGTGATCAATTTTTCTGATGGCAGAAACTGTGTGTCAGGGAGACATCACCTTTGATATTTTTCTTTTCTTAAATAACACGTAATTGTAAAGGGGGTATAGGATGATTTTCTGATACATGTATACAACATAGGATGATTAAAGTTGAATGACTACCATATTGGTCACCTTGAACATTTATGATTTCTTTATGTGAGCGCATCCCAAATCTTGTTTTCTAGCTATTTTTAAATGCATAATATTATTGCTAACTATACACATCCATTTTTGAATAAGTAGGAAATGCATACTTTCATTCTCTTGATTAAAAATTGAGCATGTTTTTAAAATGGAGAGCAAAATAGTGATTAAAGAATCAGAGATAATGCTGAGGAGATGGAACAGGCAGACATAGGAAGCTGGTTTTTCGACATTGCCATGGAGCTGGTGTTCAGCCCCAGACTGCATACACTTACCTCTTGGACTTCCTGTTGCAAGATAAAAATAAACTCCCACATCTCAGGTTACCGTGAGTCAGGTTTTCTGCCCCGTGCAGCTGAAATTAGTTCTACCCGCCCCCTCCTACCTACCCCTGAGCCTCTTCCTCTCCCATCATCACTCTTGAGTGCCTTACCTGTCTTTTTCTTTACTTTCACCCCTAGTTGAAAGCATATTATTTCTTAATGGCTTACAAGTTCACTCTGTTTATCCATGATAATGTAAACTCCAAATGGAAGAGGTACTTCTCCATGGTAACTCCAGAGCCTAACTTAATCCTTGGCACACGGTAGGTGCTCGATAAATATTTGTCAAATATAGGAATCAGTGCAAATTCAGTCATGCCGTTCTTCTTTTAGAAGAGAAAATCCAGAGTACAGAGATGCTCTTCAAGGCCATCCTTGCGCTGCACCCTGCCTCCCGCCGCCCGCCTTGCACCCCGCTGTACTGCTTGTCCTGCTGCAGGCTTTTTGAACTTCCGCCAAGCCCTTGCATAGGCTGATAGTCCCTGTGCGTTGCTGAACATCTGCTGTACAGCAGACATTTTTCTAGAAGGAGCAGCTCCCCCTGTATCCATGAGGGATGCGATCCAAGACCACCAGTGGATGCTTGAGACCATGGACAGCACCGAACCCTATTTTAATGTTTTTTCCCGTTACATACGTAACTATGATAGCTTAGTTCACAAATGTGACACACTAAGAGGTTAACAATAACAATAACGAAATGAAAAATCATATGTTATAATAAAAGTAATTTTATTTTTATCAGATTATTTATTTCTAGAACTTTCCATTTAATATTTTCAGACCCCAGTCAACCATGGTAAATGAAACTGCAAAGTGCTAAACTATAGGTCAAGGGGTATACTTCATAGGAGCTGATCTAATGAACCAGGCAAGACAGAGTCTGTATCCCGTTGGAGTTTAAAAAAATGGAAAGAATTTGGCCAGGCGACTATAGTCTTATCAGTTTTGGGTTTTTTGTTTTGCTTTGTTTTGTTTTGTTTTGTTTTGTTTGTCTGTGTATAGCCCAGGCTGGCCTGTAACTCACAGCAATCCTCCTGCCTCAGTCTCCTGAGTGTTGGGATTACAGGTGTGAGACATCCCACCCTGATCATCAGTCTTAATGAAAGCAAGGATGCAGGGAATTATGAGAGATCCTCACTCTCTAAACAGCAAACTCTTTTTCATCTATTAAGGCCCAATTTCAATAGCCTTTCCTCTAGGAAGTCTTCACGAAAGTCCTGATGTGGGGCAAGTGATTTTGGTGCTTCCACAACCACTGGGCCTTCTGCGTTGCAGCACTTAACCCACTCTGCTGTCTTTGTCCCTTTGTCTGTCCAGCAGCCTGTAAGTCTATAGGGCAGGAGATTCTCTTCGTGAATCTCTGAGTCCCCAAGTCCCACGCAAGGGTGCCCGCGGTGTCTTCACTGAGTTCGCTGCTGACCTCTCCCTCCCTCGGCTTGCTCCCCTCCTTCCCAGCCCCTTTCAAACCTTGCTGGAATTCCAGGCTTCCACAGTGTTTCTGTTTCACACTCAACTACTAAGCTTTTTTGTGTCTTGCTCAAAATGAACCCCTCCTCTTCCTAGGGTCTTTCCCCCCTAGGATGACTAGAAAAGTTTGAAGTGATCCAAGCTAGTGGTGATTGTTTTCTGCTTCTTAATTTTCTTTTATGCTCAAAATAAGGGCCCTTACTTCTCCCCTTCCATCTTGGATTGCTACTGGTCCATAGTGCCTTCACCAAACATGCTAAGTGTCCTCTGTATCTTTGCACATGCTGTTTGCCTCTGCTGAAGATGCTGTTCCCAATTGTCCCATCCTAGTAAAGCTGCCCCATCCTTGAAGCCCAGGTCCCATGTTAGCTCCTCAGTACGACTTCTCCTATGCCTCCTTCTGCACCCTCAAGAAACAAGAGTTGCTCCAAAGTTCCCTAGCCTTCCTTGGCTGTTACCTGATCCTATGGCATCCTGGCAGTCGGGGGGGCATGTGGTCCACATTGAACCGAGAGAGAGCAGCAGCATTAAAGATGTGGATGGAGACTGCAAGTGGGAGGTGGTGAGGACAGAAGAAAAGCAATGAGCCTAAATTATCACTAGTCCCTCTCAAATGCACCTATGGAGTTCAGAATATTTGACAGAACCTGGCTATGCTCATATCTCTGTGCTTTTAAGCAGCCAAAGTGTTCCCATCTCAACTCTGCCATCTTAGTGGGAAAAACATTATCCAGACTTAGCCACGGCATTTCCTAGAGTGAAGGAGCTGGGGAAGGCAGTGGGTTGAAGATCTTGGGCTTTGGAGTCAGGCAGTGTGAATGGGAGGCTTAGCTCTGCTGCTCAACACACATGGGTCCCTGAGTCCTTGACACTCAGTCTTCATGAGTAAGAATGGGCACATCAACTTGTAAGGTCACTGAAATAAACACAAAGCACACTCAAGTAGTAGCTGGTCAACTACAATTGTTATTCTGTGTAATTATGATTGGGTGTCTGCTACCATCATTCGTGGTAGGAAATGTCCAGGATAGTGAGACTTAAATGAGGGCACAGGGCCAGGTGTGGTGGTTCACACCTGTAATCCCAGCACTTGGAAGGCTGAGGCAGGAGGATCACTGTGGGTTTGAGGCCAGTGTGAACTACATAGCAAGACTCTGTCTAAAAAACAAACAAAGCAAAACAAAACAAAAACCCCTACAGCACAAAACGGGAAAATAAAAAGAACACTATTATCCAAGTATTGCTAGACAGTCCTGTGTACACAAGTGACAGGAGCCCAGCTTTAAGCATGCTTAAGTGAAGTAAAAGCTACTGCAGAGGAGAAGCTCCCAGGCACATGCAGGAAGAACAGATCTCCGGCTTCTTTACCTCTTCACCCCGCCTTACTGTGGGCAGCCCCGTGGTCAGGTAGTCTTCGTGCACACATCGGCCCCAGCTCCTCCTGGCTGGCATATCTACACAGTTATCATTCTCTGCAGAAAACCAGAGGGTTTCTTTCCTAACATTTCTCACAAAAGTCTTGGAACTGAGTCTCATTTGTGTAATTCAGTTGCATTCGCATGGTGGGGTTAATCTTAAGCATAAGAGGCTGCTCTGATTGGCAATACCTTGGTCACATGATTGTCCTGGGCAAAGAGGAATTAGAGATATGGACTCATCTTAACCACATGGGCTGAGAGGGAAGAGTGTCTCCCAGGAAAACTGGGGTGCTGTCACTCAAAGAAGGGGAGTAAGTATGGTGTGCAAGGAAGCACAATAGTTGTGTCCTAGAGTAGGAGATGGGCTGTCCCAGGGGCTCTGGAAGGCCGGGAAATTGGCAGAGTCAGCACTCACCAGGCAGTTTGAGGTTGCTGCCGCTGGCTTCTGTTTCCAGCAGGCCTCATGCAGGAACATGACTCAGCAGTGCAGCTGCCACACACGTGGTTTGGCGGCCAACCATTCCCCTCTGCCCCAGTGCTGTGTCAGTTTGCCCCCAGAGCTGGCCTGGGATCTCACATGCAAATGCTGCCAGTCTTCTGGGGGTCTTCGCATTCTTCATTGCAGGCCTCCTCTTTCCTCTTCTTCCTTGCTCCAGGGCAAAGTGTGGCAACTGTTGAGAAAAGGGACAAAAGTCACCTTAAACTTTGATGAGTCACTTTGGATAAGTCTGCTGTGGCTGCTCTCTCTGTGCCCAAGCAGGAGAAAGACAAAGACAGTTTGACCGATTTTCCAGACCCTAGAGAGGAGAAGGCCAAGAGGCTGGGCTGGGTGTCCTGGAGGTCCTGGCAAAGGGCTTTTCAGCACCCCAGTGATACAGGGGACCATGAGAGTGGTCCCAGTTGGGTCCATCCTCTGTAGCAAATAGCAGGTGAGGGGATGACTCCAAGATGCCCTTGACAGAGGGAACTGCACCCTCAGCAGACCTTTCCTGGCACCTCCTGAATGTGCCACACACCAGAACAGAAAGGCAAGTCAAATCTCATCCCTGCACTGAAATGAGGGAGTTACTAAAGGAAAGAGGTGGTTCAATTATGGCCCAGGTGATGGAATCCTCTAACAGATGGAAACTTGAGGGCTTGGAGACAAATGGGAGAGATCAGAGGAGTCCGGGACTGAGCTGGCCTTTGGAACAAACATTGCTGGCTGAGAGAAAGAAGAAGGGAAAGGCATCCCAGGAGAAGCAGCATGTGCAGAGGTTGACAGTGGCTTGGGGACCTGAAGCGGAGCTCACAGCCTTTCCCAGCAGAGGGGATGAGAACAGGAAGATTGGAGTGGCAGATGGAACCTGTGTGACAAGTCTTAAATATGACAGTGTTGTGGTCTGATAGAGCCCTCCAATTCAGTTCATTTCCTCTACAACAATTAAACAAAAACGTGTGGGACATCTTCCTTCTCTAGGAAATTGTCTTAGAGAAGACTAGGAGCCTCTCAGGAAAGGTAAACAGAAACCAGACTTTCTGAAAAACAACATCTGAAGGTTTCTTGCACAGTCATTCCCACTACTCCAAGGTCAAGTTCCTTTCTGAGATGTTGAGTCCATGGCGAAGGCTTGGACTGCAGCAGTAGCCAGATGAAGAGACAACATAGCTTCTGCCTACCCTCGCTGGCTAAATACAGTGGCCAGGCAGAAGCCAGCAGCGGGCCTTCTAGCTAGTAAAATCCACCTTTCCTTGTCTTTTTCTTTTGTTATTTCAAATTCAACTCACTGTTGGAGGGAAGTGAGAGCCTTGGTCCCAGGTTCCCAGCTGTGTCACTTTGGCCAGACTCTTGTAAATTTGTTTCCTGAGCTGAAAAGATGATGCGGGGATGAGCCTGGATCTAAGATGCAAAGCCTCTGTGCTAGGAGATTCCCTGGTGGCCTGTTCCCCCAAATCCCACCTCTCCCAAGGCTGTGAGTTTCCTTTAGCCCATGTAGGCCATGCTGGAGGCCAGCACTGCTGCAGGTACTCTCGGGCCCCAGGCTCTCCCCGTTGGGTCACAAACTATGTCTGAGAACTTCCACAGCATTCAGTCCTGCTAACAAACTGTTAAATAAAACTTGTCAGGTCTCGAAGCATGACCACAGAGCTTCCCAGTGACCTGAAGGCAAGGTCAGGAAGTGGGGCTCTTTGGGGTTTCACACCAGCATGCAGCTGCTACCTTACCCACTCCCCACACCTCACAATGTCCAACCTGTGAGACATCTGGACATCAACTTCCACAGCTCCCCAAAGCAGCTGCCCCTTGGTCAGCCATGGGGCCTAAGGGAGCCCCCCTCTAGCCATGTGGTCTGTGGTGGGGAGAGGCCCATGGCACCTTGGAAGTGAGCTCAGATATATGGTCATGGAGTCCCAGGGCCTTGGGAACCTGGAGTGGCCTTTGGTGGGCACATGTGGGGTCCCATATGGCACCCCTCCTTTTTCCCTGAGACTCATCGCTGGGGGAGCTTTGCAGGAACAGAGAAGGGTTCTCTGAAATGCAGGCTTAGGGATGAAACCTTCTCATCCTGTCAGAGGGTATTGGATGGGAACTGGGGGAAAATCAGGTTCTTACTATTTCTAACTGAGATCTGAAATTAGTCCCTGAATCTGGCCGGTCCTCGCTCTTCTGCAGTCTCAAATTATCTCATCTCTGAGTTTCCTTCTAACGCTGGTCCAGGATCTGAAAACTGGTCCTGCCCTTCCTCAGGCAAGTAGATATCAGCTCACCCGCTTCTCTGGGCTCTGCTGCCTGGTGCCAGTACGCCCAGGGTCAAGACAATCTTGGGAGTTCAACGTGAGATTTTTCTGAACCTCAGACCTGGAACTGAGAAGCAAACAAACTGACTACACCTTTGATGTGTCTCATTTGAGACCTTGGATTGTAAAAGCATGCCGGTCTGGACCAGGCTTGCGGAGATAGTTCCTGGTCAGGATCCCCAGGACGACCAGCCCATGCTGATACCTGCTACAGCTTGGCTGTTTCTCTCAACCAGGTCTGCAATCAGAGCCTTGAAGAAAAGAGTTGAACTAGGAAAACTGACAAGAAAGAGAATTCTAGACCTAGTGTAGGAAAAAGTAACAGATGCAGTTCAGGGGGGAAAAAAAGGAAGGAGGTAGGCCTGTGAGTGCTGCAGGACCCAGGGACAGGCCTGGGGAGGACAGATAAGGGATGAGAAGGAAGGGGCCGCTACTATAACCAGGCGGTGAGTTTTACTACATGCTGTGACACGTGCCCGTATTTTCACCTACACTTCCCTAGTAATTTAAGGCTTCCATAAACCAATGAAACCCTTTCCTTTCCAATGTCCCGGATTTTGAAAGCTGATGGGTCTGCCTACTTTCTATTTTGCTGCAGATATTTACTGAGGGCCTAATCTGTACCAGGCATTCTTTGGGACCCTGGGAGGGGACTGAAATAAGACAGACACAAATCCCTGCCCTCCTGGAGAGAGTCAGACAATGGGCCCAAGCAGGAAATGACAGAAGGTCTAGTGGGGTGAGAGCTCTGGAGAGAAACCAGGTCAGGGAAGGGAGTGCGGCAGGGGTGGAGCAGGAAGGGTATAATTGTCAATAAGGCCATAGTCAGGGGAGGTATCTGTGAGCAGGAGACACTGGAGTAAAGTTCCCAAGCCGGTAAGGGAGGGAGCGGCCTGGTGGGTGAGGGTGCGAGTGGGAGGGAGGGAGGGAGCCCAGGGACAGGGACTGTGAGCAGCAAAGGTCCTCAGCCCGCTCAACTGCGGGAAATAAAACTGCGGGAAATAAAACTGAGCAAGAAACAGAGGGAAATTAAAAATAGAAAATCCAGAATAAATCCCATTCCTCTTAAGGGAGGGCGATTGGCGATGTCTTATAGACACACACACACACACACACACACACACACACACAGAGTTGTGCTTCAATATCCCAGGGAGCTGAATTCCAGAAACCCCATGGATGCAAATATTTGTTATACAGTACCATTTAGGGAATAAGAACAGTTATACATTTTTGGGACAGGTGTAATGTATTTCCAGAACTTGTTTGATCCGTAGTTTTGATCTACATAAAGAACCTGCTGATATGTTGAGCCAACTGCATATGCACGTATGTTGTATGTAACACACACATATACGATGGTATTGTTATGATTTTAAGCTGTACAAGAATAAAAACTTGCTCCAAGTCAGTTTCTGTCTGCAGGTGAACTTGCAGCAATTTACAGCGATGACAGTTCACAGGTGAAGCATCCACGCCTCACAAAGGGAGCCCATGTTGCCTATGACACAGTACCCGAGGGCAGGATTTGACCTTGGATCCAGCAGAAGCTTTGCTCTTACCCAGTCCCTACTCTGGCTTGCTTGGCAGCCACACCTCACCCCAGCCTCCAGGGCTCCCCAGGTGCTGATTAAGAGGACTACTTTGCCATCTGGTTTAATCTGATTTCCCTTCTTTCTTTTTTTCCCCCTGAACTGCAGGCCTTGTGGACAGTCACCCAACTGGTAGGACAGGTGGGTGGGCAGGACCAAAGACTGTTCTCTTTCCTGGAGACCAGTGGGCAGTTCCCTGGCGCCAGGCCTGCTGGGGCCTTGGCGTTGGCAGTTGGCCTATTCAGGAAGCCCCAGTTGTGCTGGGGGGTGTGGCCTGGAAGGCTGCATTGCTTCAGACCAGTTCAGGACACTGAGCACAAGAGAGCACCTGCTCTGTGCTCAGCCCTGGGATCTCTGTAAATGACCTCACCGCAAAACATTCTCTCAGCCACGTGCACAGGGAAGTGAGCGATCACTCAGTCACTTGTTCGTCCATTTCGTTCCACCAAATTTTGCTGAGCACCATTTCCTTCCAGGGAGTATTGTCTGAGGCTCCAAGATGTGCCAGGCACAGTGCTGGACCCTTGTACTCTTTATTTTGAGTGTGGCTTGGGGTGAGAATCTTCAAGGTAGATTTGTTCAGATTGGAGGAGACTCAGGTCAGTTTTGGGCAGGGACTTGTAGTTTAGGGTGGGGAAGGGCATTCGGGCAGGTGAACAGCCGGAGCAAAGGCTGGTAGAGAAGAGTGTTTGGGGGCCAAGAGCTGACCCTCTGGCTCAGGGTTTTCCTGTAGGCAGTGGAGGGAGAAGTGATTACTGGAAAAGGAGAGTAGGTGGTGCATTCACTGTCTGCTCTCTGAGCGACCTTCACAGTCACTTCCCTCTCTGACCCTCACTTTGTAACACTACGCGCCAAATGTAAGGATCCTTATCTTGTCTGTTTTTGAAGGGAACCTTTGAAGGTCAAAGGAATCAGAAATTTTATGAGAAGAGAAAGAGAGACAGAGATACACCGACAGACACAGACGAGAGAAACAGAGACAGAGACAGACAGAGAGACACAGATCCATCTCGTGCTTATTCAGTTTCAGGCCTCACTTTTACGAGGCCAAATCTGACCCGAGTTTCACCCAAAGGTCCTCAGTTCAGCCTGGGTTCGATGGTCCCTTCAGGACTGATTTCAGCCACACCTTACCTGGCCCCCAAGATGCTCCTGGAGGTCAAGGATACATCCGCTCATTTGGAGGCCTGCTAGCCAGTCTGCACAGGGCTAGCAAGAGGTAGTGGGCACAGCTGTCCCCAGTCTGATTGTCCATTCAGGAACATATTTCCCTTGAGATGCTCAGCAAATTGGTTCTGTCTCCCGCCTCAGTTTCCTCCTTGATGAAATGAGAATGAACACAAGGTTATTGTAAGATGCAGTGAGCAATTGTTGACATGGAGCCTGTTTCTGCCTCCGCGATGGGCTGCTGCTGCCAGTCTAACCAGGGCCTTCACCACCTCTACCAGGAAAACCTGCTAGAGAAAAGGCTCCTGTGGTTCCAATGCACAAGCCTCTGATGGGCAGGGAGGCCAAACTGAGAGTCAATTACTCATTTCATCCATTTACTCTCTTACTCCTTCAACAAATATTTACTGACCATCTTCTAAGGACCCAGCATAGCACTGCGTTTCTGACTCTGAGTGAAAACCTATGAGAGAATTAAATTAGCAGACAATGGAAAATTGTGTGCTCCGTAGAAGTGAGCAGCAGGAGGAAAGGCCTCAGAAATTGAGAAGTAGGGTGTGGCAAGAGCATGCACTGGGACATCTCCCAGGCGAGGTGACTTTTAGCAGAATTTGTGGAACTCAGATGAGTGGGAGGAGCGAAGGGGCATGTCAGATAAAGGGAGCTGCCTGTGCAAAGGTACAGAGGGAGGACTCTGTGTAGCCACCAGACCTGCTCAGCTGGAAGGAGTGGATGGAACCTGCTTATGCAGGTGGCCAGGGCTGGGCAGGAGAGGATCAGACATCCAAACACTTCCTGCAGCCTGGGATTCCAGGGTGTTGATGAGGTGAGGTTGTGTCACTCCTGAATGTTTATTGGATGTGCAAAAATCACTGCATAAACTCAAGTCTGGCCTTCTTGTTTCCTTGTTTAAAACTCTCAGCCTTGGGATAATCCCCAAACTTCTCAATGCAGCTTTAAAGACCTTGTGTAATCAGATCCGTGGTCATATTTCTAGCCTCAAACCCTAACCTTACCCCCCTCACATTCAGCATGTGCTGCAGAGTCCCATCGCCTCCCTTTCTGTCTTTTCTACGCATTTGATTCTACTGTGTTCTCTGCATGGTGCAGGGTCTCCTTGGCTGTCTCAGGGTTGGCCCTCGGTGTCACAAAGCAAAGAGAACAATGTTTTTGATGTTCCCTGGCCTGGAGGCTAATGCCATCTCTGCTACTTGCTGGCTATGTGAATTGTTATTCTCCAAGCCTTAAGCTTCTCAGCTGTAATGGGCACCATATAATCAGCTTCACAGGGCAAAACAAGATAAGGATTCAGCAAGGAAATGGATATAAAATACAAAGTAGAATCAGAAAATGTGGCACTTTGCTATGTGCTTAGTAAACAAAACTAGCTTTTTCATTCCTGTAACTGATACTCCTCTTGGTACTTTACCCTTAACCAAATAAAAGCACAGTAGTTTTTTCAGTTTAAGAAGTGACCGACAAATACACTTCTGGTCAGGAGTGAGTGATAACACGGAAAGGATACAGTGACAGTTACCATTTGCTTGCACCTACCGTGTTTCAGGCACTACGTGGAATGTCTAAAAACTCCACTCCACTTAATTCCCAAACCCCCCGGCAAAAGTTTCTGTCTATGGGCAATCTCCAGCGTAAGCTGGTTCAGCTTATATTTTTTCAACTTTAAGGTTGTGCAAAATGACAGGTCTCCAGGGTAAATTGTACTTCCTATTTTGAATTTTCATCTTTTTCTGGGCTACTTATTTGCTGAATGATGTTTTCTAAAAATGCTGGACAGTGGCAGAGAGCCACAGCTGCTGGTCAGCAGGGCGGTCACATGAGGGGAGCAAGAGGGCCGCACGGTACGCAGCGTTGCTAAGCTGGACGTCTGGTGCCTGAGGTGCACGAACCGCATCTTCTACTTAACAGTTTTTTCAATTTAGGTTGAGTCTGTAAATCAAGGAGAATCTGTATTTATCTGTTTCAATATGCACATGCACACACACAAAACAAAATAAAAACCAGAGGCTCAAAGATTTTTAGGAACTTATTGGTATCCCACAGTTTATAAGCTTATGAGTAACAAAGTCCAGTAAACATTGGCCAGGTCTGAGTCCAGTGACTGTACAGTTAAACATATAGACAGACACACATGTATTCTACATCCACACACATTACACACATAGCTTCGCATCTCACACTGTATGTTTACATACATGCACACACACTCTCGCGTTTACACACACAAAGGAATGAGCACAGAAGACAGGATAAATAGGAGATTGGAACTATGGCTGATTTAAAAAGAAGGAGGAGGCATGAGCAATCTCACTTGGTCCCAACCAAGGATGGTGAAACAGCTTGATTCCAGGCGTCCTGACCTCCACTGTCAGCCTCACTCCACTCATCAAGCCCTTCTGCACAGGATGCTACTAGAACTTCCTGGCTTCAGAGGCTGTTTCCCCTCCTGAAAAGCACTCTTGCTTCTCACAACAGTCCCAGGTATTAAAGGCCTGGCAAAGAACACGTGCTCATGGCATGGTCGTGAGCTCTTCCTGCAGGAGGGGAAGGCAGGTTCCTTGTCCTGGGACCTCCCTACCCCTTATCTGCTGAACAACAGATGGGCTCTTGACTGGTCAGTGGGATCCTCCCCTTATTTCTCTTTCTCTTTCTCCTCCATGTAACATCCTTCTCTAAGCCCTTGTGCTGTGCTGATTGTGCAAGTACCTTCATTTTCATGTACTGTCATGCGTGTGTTACTTTTATAAATTTTATATTCAATTCGATAAAGAAAAAAGTTTTAAAATAATATCTGAAAATGCCTGGAGCACTTTAAGTATTTCAGACACATCTCACTTTAGAAATGATGACAACCAATCTTGTGCCCAACATTCATTCATCTGAAAAATATTTATTGCATGACACCTACCATGGGCTGGACACTATTATCGTCACTGTGATAACAATCGTATACCAAATAGGCATGCTTCTGGCATCCAGGGAGGCACAAGAGGAGATGGAAAGCAAGTTAGTAAAAAAATAAGCACAGTAATTTCAGGTGATGTTGTGTTATAGATACAACACAAAAAGTTGTGTAATACAAAAAGAGTCAACAGCAAGGATCCAAACAAATACTAACATTCAAATACTAATATTCAAAGTCATAGCAGCACTATTCACAATATGTCAAAAGGTAGCAATAACTCAATGTCCAATAATAGATGAATAAATGAGATGTGACATGCATGCACGGCAGAGGAGTGTTCAGCCTTAGGAAGGGAATTTTGACCCATGGTTCCACATGGGTGAACCGTCAGGCCATTATATTAAGTAAAACCGGCCAATCACAATAGGTCACATGCTGTATGTTTTCATTTTCTTGGGTTACCAGTGGTCAAATGTACAGAAGTAGAGTTCCCAGAGGCTGCGGGATTTATTTAATAGGTACAAAGTCCTGTGTGAGGACTAAGACAATGCTGGCGGTGAGTGATGGTTACCTAATCCTGTGTGTGCACTTCATGCCACTGAAGTGAGCACTTCGAAATGGTTAGTGGAAGAATTTTATGTTTGCGTATTCAGTTGAAAAGTTTAAATAGACCATATATTGATTTTCACATGCAGTTATGAGATAGAATATACCTTGATGGGGTGGGGTGTACGCTAATTTCACTGAGGTGGCCATAGAAAGCCATGAGAACGAGCATTTGAGCTGAGAGTGGATGGAAGAGCAGCGGTCAGTGGTCAGCTTGACAGCGGGTGGAGATCAGGTGGGAGAGTTGGCAAGGGCCCCAGCTCATGGGGCCTTGTAGTCCAGGGTCAAGGAATGAAGCTTTTATTCTAAGAGCAGAGAAAAACCCTATAGTAGCCGTGGGTGTGACATAATCAAACTTACAGTTTTCAAAGCTCTTTTAGGCTGTTGTGTGCCAGAGAGGGCCAAGGGGTGACGGATGCCGAAGGAAGGACCGTGGCTTTCAGGTCAAGTTGAGAGCTGTCCCTGCCGCTACCTCTGCCTGTTCATCCACAGCCCCTTCCTGTTCCCACTTCAGGGGCCTGCAGTCACATTCTGGGAAGGAAAATGAGGAAATCAGTGTGTTGAAATCTGCTGGTTGCTGGGTTAGTGGAAAAGGCTTTGCATTCTTGGGGATGGGGCGTGGTCTGATTTATTCAGTTCCCCAAAGTACGGAAAGAAAGGCACAGAGATCCAAAGCCAAGGACCCAGTGCAGGTGAGGCTGTGGTTTACTGTAGTGTCAGCCTTAGCACTGGACAGGGCTGGCTCCATCACAGAGGTCAGTCATCAGCTGTATGTTTTGGGCAAAGGAGCCCGTCTCCCACAGTTCCAGCTTCTGCATCTGAGAAGAGGAATAATAGCAGTACTTACACTGCAGAATTGATGTAAGGATTCAATAAAATAACGTGTGAAGCTTTTAACATTGCTTAGGTCAGTGTAAACACTCAATAAAGGATAGTTAATCACTACCACTGTGTTCATTTTCTATTATAGATCTAAAACATGAATTCCATCTACTCTGGGTAAATAGAAACCATGAGTTTGTCTTTTGGATTAATAAGGTTGGTTACTCTGTTGGTTGGCTTTCCATTTCTGTGACATAATACTTCTAAAAAATCAGCTTACAAGGAGTAAAGATTAATTTTGGCTCATGTTTGAGAAATTTCACTCCATGAAATTTTGGTCTCAGTGCACTGGGACTGTGGTGGCTGGTGCCCAGCACATCATGGCAGGGAACACAGGGCAGAGATCAGGCCACTTCACAGTGTTCGGGGTGTGGAGCCAGAGGAGGAAGGGAGGGTCCCAGTATCTCCCTGAGGGCCTATCCCCAGTGACCTAACTTCTTTCCACTAGGATTTGCCTCTTACCACCAATAGTGCCCAAGAGTACCACAGGCTGCAGACCAAACCTTAAACATGTGAGTCTTTGGGGGTCACTCCAGATCCAAACTATAGCAGCTGCTGTTACATACTGTGTGAAGATCTGGGGAGTAGGCTTTGGATTGTCATCTTTCCTTCCTCCCTTAGCTCACATGGTTGGCATTCCTAATGCCCTAGTCTCGAGTACAACATTCAGAATACCCGGAGGTGCTTTTTCAGCATCTGGACAACCTGCCAAAGTGGGAATCAGCCCTCTCTGGGCCACGCTAACTGGAGACAGTTTAAAGATCTAGACTACCAATATGTATCAAAAGAATTGAAACATCTTGAAGAGGTATTTGTTTACCCATGTTCATAACAGCATTATTCACAATGGCCAACAGCTAAAAGCAAGCCAGTTGTCCATCAGTGGATAAATAAAGTGTGATCTATACATACAACAGGATATTTTTCTGCCTTATAAAGGGAGGAAATTCTGACCCACACTACAACACAAACCTTGAAGACAATATACTAAGTGATATGTGATATATATTAACCAGTCACAAAGGAAAAGTTGTATGATTCCATTCTTATGAAGTATATAAAATAGTCAAATTCATAGAGACAAATGGAGAATGGCAGTTGCCAACGGCTTGAGGAAGGGAAGTGAGAGGTTGTTTAATGAATATGAAGTTTCAGCATTGCAAAACGAAAACATTCTGGAGATTGCTTGCACAACAGAATGAATATTCTTAACATGACTGAAATATACTTTTTAATATGGTGAAGATGATAAATGTCATCTTTTGTGGAGTTTTCTTTTTATCACGCTTTATTAAAAAGAAAAGTACCTAGATTTCCAAATAGAAAAATCCAAGGTCTGACCTGGTTTTCGATGTAAACAGGAATCACAATTTTCCCAGTTTCTTATGCCGCACACTGAGTATTGTGTAACAGCCTCACAAGTAGTTCAGTACTTAGTACATGGTATATACTTGACAAACACCTGTGCTTTTGTTATCACAAGTGCTGAAAAAATGCCCATTGAATGGATTAATGGAACACATGTCTGAAGAGCCAGAAACTTAAGTTCTTAGTCTTAAAAGAAAACTGTGTATAAGGTCTTCGGTCAAGTCCCTTCCCTAATCCTACGATAGCTTCCCCATTGCTAACTCTGATGGCCTCATCTTGGATTTCAGTGGCTTGCGTCACAGGTGATCACTCTTTCCTTCCTGAAAACTTTTTTTCACAGTCAGGGACACTAGTCTTTCTTGATTGCTCCTTGTACCTCCCTCGAACCAACATCCCAGTCGCCTTCATAGCTCAGTGCCCAAAGAGCAGGGTTGTTTTGTTTTGTTTTCCTATTTGGTGAACTTCTGTATCCCAAGTTCCTAAAATAGAGCCTGGCACTTAATGGGTGTTCAGTATTTATTTAACTACCTCTTTGTCTACACTTCAAGTCAGGATTCAGCCAATGGGCCTCCCTAGAGCAGGACCGAAGTTTTCTCTACCTGGGAGCTGGACCAGTCACTTCTACGAAACAGATTGAGGAATGTGCAGAGGGAAGAGAAGGTGGGTGAGTAATGAGGGGGATGAAAGGCAGAGAGAATTGGGGGCCTTCCAGAATACATCCTAGTATCCCTATGATAATGTCCTTTGAACAAGCTTAGCAGACTCCTGCCTCAGGGTCTTTCCGTTTCTTCTGCCCAGAATGTTCTTCCTATTATGTATTCATAGTATGCTTCCTCCTTTCTTTCATATCTCCACTCATAAATCATCTCATTAGAGAGAGCTTCCTGCTTTCACAGAGTCATATCCTTCCCCCACTTTATGCTCTACTCCTTATCTTGCTATACGTTTGTAAATAGCACCTCTCACCATCCGATACATCACATGTGTCATTTACTGACCTTTCCCATTGTCAGTTTACCCTCAAGTAGTGTCATATCTACAAGAGCAAGGACCTGGTCTTCCTTCTTATTTCAAGAGCCAGTATCAAGTATTTGGTAATCTGTGTCCAGTGGATCAATGAATGCAAAAATGGACACAGCATGCCCATCTGCAAAGAGGCCAAGACTCATAGGGTCCTGGATGATGCTAACAATCTACAAACAACTGGAAGCCACAGCACTGTGTCTTTCTCACAGATAGGATCGTGGCTTTTGATATTGCCTCCAAGCCACCTGCTGAGTGGATTTATTGGGTAACTCCATGACCTTGCTCCCACTGGAGAACTGATCCTTCTTCCATTTCTACCATGATCTCTCCAAATTGCTGTCCAACAGACTGACCTCCAGTGTCTTTACCAACGAGGATGTTGCTTATTCAGAATGCCATGATGGGCTTCTGAGTCTGCTGGGAAACGGGCAATAGAAGTACAAATGCTCATCCCTGGGAGGCTGGGTTTTGCAGGCCATATGCAGCAGAATGGAGAGCAAATACATTACAGGCAGAGAACAAACTTGCCCCCACTCACCCTACTGCACTGGGACTTCTCCTTCCTGTGCTGTGGCAGGGTGTTTTTGACTTTGGCTTCTGGCAAACATTTCATTGACTCCTGGATTTCTCAGAGCATCAACAAAAGAATTGGGCCTCTGGCACCCTGGGAAACTATATTCCAGTGATGCTCATTCACATCGTGATTATCCTCCCTGATTCCCTAACCACACACACACACACACACACACACACACACACTGACTGTAGTGCACTGGCTCTGACTGCCCTGTGACACCACAGACATGAGAATGAATGAGTCACATGGCAGGCACTTAGAACTCACATGGGGTGCTTATGCAGCTCAAGTGCAAGGATGGGGGAAGTGACCTTGTTTCATAAATGTGATACTCTCGGCAGGAACTTATCTTGTGTTCTCCCCTTGCAGTCAACTAAGAGGCAAAGCCCTGAGAGAAGCTTTCTGCTTGCTGCTTGCTGCTTAGTCAAATAATTGTTCTGGACCACTAAATGGAGAAGGGAAAGAGCAACGTGTTAGTTCACTCAAGAGCGACTACAATCATGTTTCTCTTACAGGGAGCCTGTTACTTCCCACAGCTTGGGTACCTCTGTTTTCCAGGTTGCTGAGGGCCCACTGGTTTACAGCTGAGCCCTGTGTGTGTATGTAAGTACCTGTTTCACATTCCTGCACACATGTGCATGCAGACATGCACACAAAAGTCATGCACAGATCTAAAGACATCATGCCTGTGAATCACAAACACAGGCGTACATCTTTACATAAATGGTTCAGCCCCACAGTCTGCATAGGCACAACAGGTCCATACACAAGTACCTTTACCAGGATGCACACCCACCAAGCATGTATTTGCATATATAGCAACAAGCAAAAAGTGGGTCTTTTTCTACTTTTTGAGATACTGAGAAGCCAAAAATATACAACACTTGGCAAGGACATTGCAAAGTGAGGAGCTACTGCCCCTCAGCAGGAATTCCAAAGATGAGGAAAAAAATCTAGCTTTTCAACCGGAGTTTAATACATACCTGAGGGTAAAAAATTATGGAAAGCAGATCTCAAGAGGTATTTGTGCATCCATGTTAGTAGCAGCATTGGTCACAGCGGCAAAGAGGTGGAAGCAATTCATCCATTGACGGATGAATGCATAAGCAAAATGTGACCTATAAACACAATGGAATGTTATTCATCCTTAAAAAGGAAATTCTGACCTGTGCTGAAACAGTTGAACTGTGAAGTCATCATGCTAAGTGAAATAGATTGAAAAAGGCAAGAAGGAAGATGTTTGGGGAAGCTGTTAGAGTGATGTGACAGTTTCCTCAGCCTCACCTTGAGGCAGGACATGGGACTGTCCTTCACATCCTAACCCTGTGGCTGGGCCTCATTGCAGAGAGCTTGACCTGACCTCCTAAAGTTAGAGGCAAGCATGTTGGGGGTGGCTGGTGATTGTACCCCACACAAAATGCCTAAGGCTGGAAGAGATTGGGCTGGCTCACTGCTCAGCCCCCAGGAGAGAAGGAACACTGTGCTAAGAATGGCCACCACTTTGGCATTGGCTGGGCAGAGAATGCCTGAGCATTTTCCCTGCATATATGGACCAAGCACAAAGAGATCTGGTTGCTTTTCCCCAAAAGCCCCAGGTGCTGTGATATCAAGGGGGAATTTATAAGAGGTGAAGGGAATTGATACAGAACCAGGCAGTAAAAATAGCCACTGCCTTAACAAACTGCATTTGGGAGAATCCCAATGATAAGGGTCTTCACAAACCTACAGAATAACCACAAGATAAAGAATTAGGCTTAAGCCTCTGCTGAAGCCAGATGAAACAAACACAGGATCTAGGGGTATCAGGGAGTCCCAATTCCCACCCTCCATATTACCTAAGGAGGCAGAAGAGGCCTAAGGAAGCAGGAGAGAAGAAAAAGGACCCTCTCTTCTTGCCCCATGTTGGCTCTCTAGCCCTAAATCAGCCACTACAGATTGAGGGAGGTGAGAGGACACATATTTCACTTCCAGTACAATTTGAACTTTCTGCAGTTACCCAGGCTGGAAATTTTCATTATGGAAATGAGATTATTCTTGAGATTATAAGTGTCAGGGTAAGATTTGTGATTCCCTAAAATGAATGACCAGAGTAATCAGGCCTGAGTTTCTGCCCTGTAAAGATTTCCTCCATTAAGGTGGGGAAAAAGTGTGTAAGCCAGCATCTTCCGAGAGCACCCATTTTAAAAAATGAAGTTACTTATTGCCTTAAAAATTCTGCATTTCTATGAAGGGCTACTCCTACATATGGAATAAGCTTAACAAATGATCTAGCAATGAGATTTCTGTTCCCAGCCCACACTTCTGCCAACACACAGACTCTGTTTCTCTGTAACTTGGGGTGATATAATTGACTGTGTCACTTAACACACACACACAAGCACACACACCATGAATGTATGGTTTTGCTGTAGATTGTCCACAGCCAGCCTAGGAAAGAGGACCTCTCTGACATCTAAGAAATACACATTCTTTTCCTTTTAGATTCAAGGGTAATATGAAAACACAGCACATTCAAGGCCCCGAATAACAATGACTTATCTTCAAACCTTTCATAACTTTGGCCAAAAAATCTACAGTGCAAACTTGAACCATAAATTAAGTTCAAGCATTTAAATTGTTGGCATTGTACCATTTCTGAACTACGAAACTGACTTGCATATGGTTCAACCTGTTAATGTTCCTTTTTAGGATTCTTTTTCATAAAACGAGGGTGATAATTCATATAGAGAAGGATTATTTTGCAGACTAAATGTACAACAGACACTAGGACCTACCCTAAAAGCCACAGTCACTGGTTTTCAGATTATCTTTACCATGTATTGATTGGAATAGAAGTCGTTGCTGCTTAAAGTGCATTTAATTTCCAATGTGTCACCCTCTGTAGACTCTGGGAAGAGAAGCAGGATTTCAGAATCTGTTTTATTCTCTTTTGTCATAGAGCTGTTTATTATTTTCTGATCTTTCATCTTTATAGCCTTTTATTCTTAGGAATGTAATATCCACTCTTCTCTTTCTGAACGTTTTACTGCTGCTTTTCTTGTTCCTGGCCAGTTTTCTTCTATTTCCAGCATTGTCTCTGTCACCTTTGGGTTTCTTTTTTATCTGTTTCTCTTGTTCCAGATGCTTCGGTTGCCTAGTGACATTGGCTGGTGCTCCCATTTATGAGCTGGAAAGCTGTTTGAAAGCCCACGAGCAGAGCTTGTTGATTGTCGAGCTTCACTACTGGATGGCAAAGTGAACAGCTTTTGCTGTTAGGCTGGTCAGCTTTCCTATAAAGAAATCCTCCAGTCTCTTTCCTGGGAGTCATTCTCCTGGTGGCGTGTGGTTCTTATTGGCAGCCGTTCAGGTCTCACTATGCAATATGAAAGTTCTATTTAGTATTCTTGTAAAATAAAGTATTTTTCCCTATGCTGAACGATGTTTAGTGTCTCTCCAATTCCTCTTCCCCAAAAAGTACCCAGTATTTTATTGTGGATAGAAGAAGGACACAGCCTGAATTCTCTGTTTGGTGTTATGGTGTTTGGTGTTATGGAGTGATGGTGGTGGTGGTGATGGTAATGGCGCTTATGGTGGCACTGATGTTGTTAGTAGCAGTGGTGGTGGTAGTGATGGTGGTATGGAATTCAGTGGTGGTAGCAATAGTCTGATGGTGGATAGTGTTGAGAGTGATATTGATGCTGGTGGTGATGGTGATGTTGATGTTGGGGTGTTGGTGATGGTGATGTGGTGATGGTGTGGTGGTGGTGGTACTGATGGCAATTGTGGTGGCAGTGGTGATGGTGTTGATACATCTTATTTCTTCAAGTATTTTTATCACTCTCAACCCTTCTTCTCGCCCCACTACAAGATACTTGGTATCTCCAAGTCCTCACACAGGCTTAGTTTAAGGTTTTCCTCTGTTGGCGTAGGAAGTTACTGTTCACCTATCTCCCTTCCTTTTTCAAAAAATTAGTTGACACAGCTAAATTCATATTCTCTTTGTGAACTTATTCCTTTTTATAAATTAGTTCCACTGTCATTTTGCAGAGCTTGAGGAAGAAGCTGATATTAATGAATGGGGTTGCTTTCCATTTAAAATGGATGTTCTCCACTGTCCTTTTAATATCCAGACTTTGCTTCTTTTCATCTGATTTTCTGCTTTTTCTATATTTATTTTATTTTCAGTGCAAAAAAATACATTCCATCTCTAAGCACATTGAACACTCCAAAATGAGGTCAGACTTCTCAGCCTGTCTCTGCCCCAGTCAAACTCAGACAGCAGGGCCCTAAATTTCTTGGTGTGAAAGGATCCTGAGCCATTTTAATTTTTTCATTTTTTCAGAGTGCATGTTTTAAAAAATAAAGATATGCTAAAACAAAATTTGGGAAAATTGAACTATAGGTTTAAACGTTTACATTTACTAATTTCAAGACTGAAAAATCTACAAAGCAGTGAATTATATACTATCCATAAGATAATTACAGGATTTATTAAAATATTCATTCATAACACCTAGGTAGAATGATACAGAATGAAACGCAAGATTAAAATAGTGTGACAAATATCAACTTTAAATTGTATTTCAACCAATTTAGACAGAGTATCAGCCCTTTGAACCTTGGAACATACACAGATATGGCAGTCATGGCAAATGCTTTCGTCTATTCCTCTTCCTCTCCCTGCCTCAACCCAGCATGCACAGCCCTACAACAAAATGGGACCTGGAATCCATCTGTGCAGCTTCCACAAGGGCAACACAAATAGAGTACAGAATGGTGAACAAGTAATTCCCCTTGTGCAGTAGGCCAGGTGGGCAGAAGGTATCTGTTCTACAAGCAGGTGTTGCATCCACCCATTGTCTCTGTAATTAACTGTCCTCTTGCCTCTGGCCAGGAGACAGAGAAGGAGTTGAATGACTAGCATAATTTTGCCCTCCTTTAAGATAACCAGGCTACCAGGATTTAACCCAGAAGGCTTTGGAACTGAGGTGGATTCTTCCCTTTTCAAACCACCTTAACGTTTGGAGAAATACGAAACAGGAAAAAATCATCCATGCACCATTTCGCCCCTTAAAACCCAAGCAAATCATTTACTTTTCATTTTGTCACGTTTCCTTCCTCTCTGTCTGAATCATCATAGGCAGGTGTACCTGCACACACACATATATTGTGGAAATGAACAGAACCCTGGCTCTGAAGTCAGAGAGAGCTGGATTCAAAACTTGTCTCCTTGCCCTCCTCCCTTTACCAAGTGCAGGACCTTGGATATGTGATAAATGCTCTCAGTTCATTTTCATCTGTATAAATGGGTTAACAATAATTAAAATAATGTGAATAATATATGGGAAATGCTGATCACAATGTCTGCTACACAGAAAGTGTTCAATAAACAGCAGCCAAAGTATTGTCAGTGGTGCCTTAATTTAAATTAATGTAATGTAATGAACATTTATTATGTGCCAAGTGACAGAGGATAAGACTATATGTCTGTGTTCCAAAAATTGTATCATCTAAGACTAGAGATGGATACCTACTCAGATAATGAGCATTCTGTGTACTAAGGGCTCCATCCTACATGTGCTAGAAACAATGTGGTCTGAGCTGGCCTAGACAGACTTTGGTTACTGTAAGTCATGGGAATTTGGGAGAATTTGCAGCAAGATAATTTGTATTCTGTCTTCTTAATTTAGCATCATATTATAAGCACTTCTGATGTTGCCACATAAGCTTTCCATCATTTTTAATGACTGCATAATATTATACTGCTTCAAGGTACTGTATTTTCCTTTACGTTGCCCCTATTATTAGATTGTTAGTCACCTACCCAGAGCTATTATAGATATTGCTACAGTGAATATGTACATGACAGCTTTTCTGCCTGGAAATTATTTCCATGGGATAAATTCTGGGTCAAAGGCTATGAGCATATTTAAATAGTTCTTGCAACTCATTGCCAAGTTTTTATCAAAGGGCTCATACAAAGAATATTATAATTTTATGTATTTTGTCAGAAAAGATGAAATGAATTTGTGAATGTTGCTTTTATTTTCATTTCTTTGATGTGTTAGTGAGGCAAAACCTCATGGGCAGGAAATTTGGAGGATACGAGGTCCATCCCACTGCAGGAAACAGTGAAGGGTCTGTCTCATTAAAGCGCAGGTACCCAGGACTTCTTAATTGCATTGTTTTTTTTTTAACCTCTCTTCCCAGTTGACTAATACATAATTGGCATCATAATAATGGGCACTGAATGAAACAGGGCAAAACATTGTCATTTCCACACCACACTGCTGTTTCAGGAGGAGAGTAACTGTTTAACCTGTCCTTTGCTTTGCCTATCCACTTTGAAAGATTTGGAAAAGCAATTCAAACTAGATTAGTATATATTTATAGATCTTCTATTATTGATCAGTAAATTGTTTGGTTTGTTACTTGCCTGTAGCCTTTTGTTATAATGCATTTTCTATTGCTGTGATAAAATACCCGAGACCAAGTTATTTACAAAGAACAGCTGGTTATTTTTGCTCCTAGTTCTGGAGGATAGGAAGTCACAGAACACAAAGCCAGCATCTGGCAGGGCCTCCCTGCTGTATCATAACAGGACAGAGAAAAGCACTCTGCAAGACACAGCAAGTGGGCCTGCTCAGATCTCTCTTCCTCTACTTAAATAAAGCCACTAATCTCATCATGGGCTTCCACCCTCATGACCTCATCTAATGCTAATTACCTCCCAAAGGTCCCATCTCCAGATGCCATTAATATATGAGTTTGAGGATTAAATTTTAGATACATGAACTTTTGAAGGACACATTCAAACTACAGTACCTATCTATTGTGTTCTCAAGGAAGACTAAAAAGCAAAGGTCACTTCAGGATAGAGAAAAAGATTCAACTTAGAGCCCAGATGATTTGAAGAAGGGGAATCCTGCTCCTTCTGCTCCCCTGCAATTGATCTGTAGAGAAGACGGTGCAGATGAAGGGAACAACCACACAGGAAGCTGACTTTCCCAGCTTAGGAGGGACAGTAGGGGATGGCATTGTGGAAGCATTTAGGAGAATCCTGGGAGCAGAGGATGGGGTGAGGGAGAAAGAGCCCTTGCAGCTTGCTTCCCTGTGTGTGGCGAACAGGGCACGGCTGAGGACGGCACTGCATGACGCCTTGTCCAAGCATAACTGGGAAGCTTTTGCAGGAGGAAGTGCCTGGAAAAATGAACCAGACAGTACGCAGTACATGAGGTTTCTGCAAGTTTCCAGGGACCCCAGCAAGGGAGACTGAGTCACTAGAAGAAACAGACCTAATGACGAGGCAAACTTTAGCAATGGATGGCCACATCGCGCCCTGAAGGCCCACTGAGACCAGTCACTGGCCTGAAGCACCAGCCACTGGTTAGTCCAGGCAGCCCACAAGAGATGGACACCAGAAAGATCTTATAAGCTTCCACCCATTCTGAAACCAGCTGCTGTCACAATATCTTGCCTGCCCCATCTTGCCTGGAACAAAGATGTGCTGTCTGGAGCTAGGGGTGTGTCTAGTAATTCTGAGGGACAAACATGCAGGGAGAGGGGAAGGGAATCAGGCACTGGCCCTGGCAGTAATAAGCTGCTGAGCCAAAGCCATCCTCTGCCCCTCTAGACTTCTTGTCAGAAATAAGAACAAACTATGGGGTCAGATTTTTAGTTATATGTAGTCAAAGACATTCCTAACAGGTATGAGGCCGATCGATTCCTCAGGAGCAGCGAGGCTCAGGTGGACTTCTGGGGGCCTGGCTATTCTGCCTACAAAACTGTGCTAATCACTTCTTCCTCAGAGTATCATAATACCCTCAGCCCTAAAATAAGTGAGTCAGGGAAATCACCCCACTTTGCCTATTATTAGAGCTTAGTTGACAAGTAAAGAAAGCAAGGTCAAGTTAGAAACCAAAAATGATAAACCAAAAATTTTCTTTGCAAAGAAATCACTTGGGAGACTGAGGCAGGAAGAGAAGTTGGAGGCCAGCCTGGGCTACAAAGTGAGTTTAAGGCCAACCTGAACTGCATGGCGAAATCTTATCTCAAAAAAGAATAAACAAATAAATTAATGAAATTAAAAAAGAAACTATTGATGAAGAAATAGTTACAGTAGAATTTGAGACTAGAGCCATAATCAATACCACCCTGAAAAATCCTAATACACATGTTTCTACCAAGAAGCTCTACTCCTCCAAAGTCCCAAATATCCCACTGGCTTCCATCCACTTTAGCCTAACTGTTCCTGATTTGTTGCAAAACTTTGAGGCCCAAAATGATTATTCCACAAACTCCTCAAGATTGAGAAGCAAGTAATAATTATCCTTATAGCCCCAGAGTCCCTGGGGCCTGGCCCAGATTAGGAGCCCAATCTAGAACGGAAGGATGAATGTGAGATATTAGGATATAATAATTCAAAATTAAAAATTTCAA